GGCAGCCAGCCTCAATTACATAAGCAGCAGCCTCAGCAACATCAGAAGAGGCAGAGCAGCAAAAAATGCTTTTAGGTAGAGAGCTACTTCAACTTCTGCCACCTATTTATCATCTCCAACAGGAAGAACACAAATTTACAATATTATCCAAAAGCCCAGAGCACTTTTAACTTCTGCTTCTCTTTTGGAGGTCAGGTGGTGTGTTTCTTTCTGGCTAAGGGTGGAATTACTATGATTGGTGGGTCCTAGAATCCTTTCATCTTGGCTATGTAAGCCATTTCCAAGTCCTGTCCCTTCCCAACCAATCTCTTTCATGAGTAACTGTTCAGAGTGTAGTATTTGCTGAAGCTGGTGGTCATAGAAGAATAACCTCAGCAGTACAGAGGAAGATTGTCTCTCAGACCAAAACAGAAAAAAACCTTTGTCCAACTATGAACCTACAGAAGCTGTACAGCTTCATTGGAAGTTTCACTTGCTGATGTTAGCTTCTATCATATTTACTAAGGCTGTCGATTAATCGCAGTTACCTCATGTGATTAACTCAAACATTAATCACAATTTAAAAAATTAATTGCAATTAATCGTAGTTTTAATCATACTGTTAAACAATAGAATACCAATTGAAATTTATTAAATATTTTGGATGTTTTTCTACATTTTCAAATATATTGATTTCAATTACAACAGAATACAAAGTGTACAGTGCTCACTTTATATTAAATTACAAATATTTGCACTATAAAAATGATAAACAAAAGAAATAGTATTTTTCAGTTCACCTCATACAAGTACCATAGTGCAACCTCTTTATCATGAAAGTGCAACTTATAAATGTAGATTTTTTTGTTGTTACATAACTGCACTCAAAAACAAAACATAAAACTTAAGAGCCTACAAGTCCACTCAGTCCTCCTACTTGTTCAGCCAATCACTAAGAGAAACAAGTTTGTTGAAGTTTACGGGAGATAATGCTGCCTGCGATGTTATTAACATGAACTGTGACCGTATAGATCACTGTTACAACCAAGCTCCTACAGTAGCACCAAATCTTGTACAAAGGAGGTGAAGTAAGGTGTCTATGGAAAGGTGGTAATTTGCTGGTTATGATTATGCTGTCTGTATGTGTGTATCATTTTTGTATTTGAAGTTATGAATATTGGCTATGTACTTGTATCTCAATGTGTTTGATTCTAAGTAGCCTCAGTGAAGCATTTGGCCAGCTTCTTGAGAAAGGACTATTCTCAGTAAGTGCCAAATCAAGAAACTGACAATGGACTTTGGGAGACGCCAATCCACATCTGAGCTTTCCTGGGAACGTTCAAACTAACATGTAAACAATGGAATTGGCCTGCAAAAAGCTGAATCATTCTTGGACATGTGACTTGCTCACATGGCTACAAACTCCATCTTGTTGCTCTGACTTTGCACAGAAGAACAAAGGGGTTTCCGCCTACAAGAAAGAGAATATAAAAGGCCCTGGAAGCCTCTCCATTTTGTCTTCAGCTGGCTCAAGACAGGACCTCTCCACCCCAAAGAGATGCCTGAAAAAACTGGAACAAAAGGTCTGAAACTACGGGGGTGTGAGTGATTGCTGGACCCAGGCCATAACCCACAACACCGGTCTGAAAAGGATTGGCCCAGACTAGGAAGGAGTCTAGTCTGTGAAAGAAGCTTATTGGGACACCTCTGAGGGTGAGATTTACCCGTATTCAGTTTCCTACTGTATTAGGTTCAGACCTGCATGTTTTGTTTCATTTTCCTTGGTAACTTACTTTGTTCTGTCTGTTACTTGGGAACCACTTAAATCCTACTTTTTATACTTAATAAAATCACTGTTGCTTATTATTGAACCCAGAGTTACTGACTAATACCTGGGAGAGCAAACAGCTGTGCATCTCTATCAGTGTTATAGAGGGTGGACAAATTTATGAGTTTACCCTGTATAAGCTTTATACAGGGTAAAACAGATTTATCTGGGGTTTGGATCCCATTGGGAGCTGGGTGCTAGAGACAGGAGCCCTTGCTAAGCCGTTTTCAGTTAAGTCTGCAACTTTGGGGTCGTGGGTCAGACCCTGGGTCTGTGTTGCAGCAGATTAGCATATCTAACTCAACAAAACAGGATTCTGAATGCCCAAACTAGCAGAGAAAACGGGCTCAGAGGTAGTCTCAGCATGTCAGGCGACAGTCCCAAGGGGGTCTCTATGACCGAACCCGTCACACTGCCCTCTTCTTATTTATAATGTCAGCTGAAAGTGAGAACAGAGGTTTGCATGGCACTGTTGTAGCCGGCATTACAAGGCATTTATGTGCCAGATATGCTAAACATTGTTATGGCTCTTCGTGCTTTAGCCACCATTCCAGTGGACATGCTTCCACGCTGATGATGCTCATTAAAAAAAATAATGCATTAATTAAATTTATGACTGAACTCCTTGGGGGAGATTTGTATGTCTCCTGCTCTGTGTTTTACCTGCATTCTGCCATATATTTCATGTTATAGCATGATGACCCAGCATATTGTTCATTTTAAGAACACTTTCACTGCAGATTTGAAAAAACGCAAAGAAGGTACCAATACGAGATTTCTAAAGACAGCTACAGCACTTGACTCAAGGTTTAAGAATCTGAAGTGCCTTCCAAAAACTGATCGGGACGGGTGTGGAGCATGCTTTCAGAAGTCTTAAACAAGCAACACTGATGCGGAATCTACAGAACCCGAACCACCAAAAAAGAAAATCAGCCTTCTGCTGATGGCATCTGACTCAGATGATGAAAATGAACATGCATTGGTCTGCACTGCTTTGGATTGTTATCGAGCAGAACCCATCAGCAGCATGGATGCATGTCCTCTGGAATGGTGGCTGAAGCATGAAGGGACATATGAATCTTTAGTGCACCTGGCACATAAATATCTTGCAATGCTGGCTACAACACTGCCATGTGAATGCCTGTTCTCACTTTCAGGTGACACTGTAAATAAGAAACAGGCAGCATTATCTCCTGCAAATGTAAACATTTGTCTCAGCGATTGACTGAACAAGGAGGAGGACTGAGTGGACTTGTAGGGCTCTAAAGTTTTAAATTGTTTTATTTTTGAATGCAGTTTTTTTTGTACATAATTCTATATTTGTAAGTTCAAATGTCATGATAAAGAGTTTGCACTACAGTACTTGTATTAAGTGAATTGAAAAATACAATTTTTATTTTTACAGTGCAAATATTTATAATAAAAATATAAAGTGAGCACTGTACACTTTGTATTCTGTGTTGTAATTGAAATCAATATATTTGAAAGTGTGGAAAAACTTCCAAAAATATTTAGATAAATAGTATTCTATTATTGTTTAACAGTGTGATTAATCACAATTATTTTTTTTAATCGCTTGACAGCCCTAATATTTACCTTTTCCTCTCAAGGCCAGTTTGAGGCTCTCCACTTAAAGGATGAGTATTTTCACAGAGATGACAGAAAATATTTCAGTTTGTGTGTGAGCAACAGTCACTCTCAGTATTAGCGCTATGCCCTTTCTGCTGTGCCAACATTATTTATCAAGTACACAACAACAACGGTTGCTACGTCTCTCAAACAAAGATATTCTCATACTTAAATGACTAGCTTTTTGAATGTAATGTCAAGGCTCATTCTGAATAGGGCAAGTTTGCCACAGTAGTCAGCCTCTGCCCTGCATCCACTTGGGAGATTCCCAGGACAGTTTTCAAAACATTCACTGATCAAAATACCAGATGCAGGGTCTAAACAAGAGTCAAGATTTAGTCTATTAATTTTACAGAAACTCTTTCTGGAGTACTGGTACCTGAACAATCCCATCCCCTTCAAGCTGTGATAACTTCCACTGGGAGACCAAATCAGGAAAAAGCTGGCCCAGGATCAGGGAAGTACAAAGGAGGCTTAAAGTTTTTTTCAACTCTCCTCATGAGTTGTACTGTGTGCTCTTTGGCTATAGCTGCAGCTACACAAGGTCATCAAATACCATTTGGAAACATTTCTCTCTCGTCTCTGGAGAAGAGACTGAAATTGAAGATGCCTCTAAAGCTGATGGTATGGTAGGAATACATTCAGATTCATAGGATGATTTTTCTGGAATTTTTCGTATTTTTTAGTTTTGTGATCCTGGTCAGATTTTCATTTTGATCCCCCCGCCCCCCCATTTTAATTTAAAGAGATTCGATTAATAGTTTAATGTGGTAGAAAAAACTGACTGATTAGCAAATTAACTATATATCCTGCTATTTATTTATTAACAATGTTAATATCAATTTAATTGTATTTGAGTTCTATTTGAAAACCATTTGTGTACAAAACAAGCACAGGAAACTAGAGAAAAAGCATATGCAAGTAGTTTGTTAATGGTGCCTGTAAGACACCACTGTATAATTAGATCCTTTGCAATAATTAATGTTTCCAGTCAGTTCTTGTTTACTGCTTTGACACACTTGCAATTAGTTTTTAAAAGAAGGATTGGAAAGGATTTACTGAAATACCATCTTTACTGTAAAAGAGTTGGATGTGATGTGTTTTCTGAAAGAACATGTCTGGGATTTAAGAAAGATTTTTCACACTTCGCAACCCCCCCACTCGGAAAGGGAACAGCCCCATATAAAAAGTATTTGTTTTTTCCCCTTGTCTTCAGGACATTTACAGAATATGGTGATACAAACTCTCAGCCCAAACTATTATTTTTTTGTAGACATACCCCACAGGAAAGATGTAACTTTTGGTGATGATGGGATAGGGCTACAGAGTAAGAGTGACAATTTAAAATATTGAGATATAGAGTGGATTAGCTGATCCCCATTTTCCATCTCTGGCCTCTATGATTCTAAAACTCAAAATGATAAGTTATTTGAGGGACAAGTGATTTAGCCAACCTTGTTGATTCGACCTTCCCAACACTAGTACACATTGCCTGCCTGCCTCAAATTCTGTATTTTTCAAAAATACTATAGGTTTTTAAAAAATAATTTAATAGCATACAGACCTGGTTTCCCCCAGCATTATGACATTCATAAACTCCAACAACACCATCTGCAAAATGGCCCAAAGTGTCGAGGCAATTGGTACCCTGCTGCAAAGCCCCAAAAGCTATATCTTGATGATCAGGTACCCTAAATATAAAAGAAACATCTGTTTTAATTCAATTTCTCTCTTGCTTTAACTTTGATGCCCTTCCTTTACTTAACAGCTTTCTAGATGAGGCAATTGGCAACAGGCAATTATTTTATTTGGTACACAGGCTATATTCCACTCCCCACAACATTTTGAAGAAGTTACAAGTTATTATTTGGTCAAGAGACCCTGCTCTCATAACTAAGCAGTCCAGTAGATTTGTAGGCTAAAAGATTGAATATGACTGAAATATACTGGAGAACTACAATGAACATGAGCATTAGAAAGTCCCATCACAAGTGTGGCTGGCAGCAATGTGTATAGTTAAGGTTCTATAGCACTTTCCACTGTGTAACTCTTTCCATTATAAATCCCTCTTCTGCGTAGCTCATGACTTTGTCAAACTTTAACCACTGAGGCAGAAATTTGGCATGCTGCAGTTCTGCCTCAGGCTGATTTTTTTCTGTAAGTTCAGTAAAAAAACAGTTCTACCACTTCTGAAAATGAAGTTCGCGGAAAATATGTTGCTTTGTCAATGTTCACAAATACAACTGTTCCTTTGAGAAACTAATGCCTCCATGCTTTGGAGCAGGGACTTGACATTTGTCAGAGAGTCTCTGTGCCATTAAGGAGCTGCCTTTTGTGCTCCCCATGAAAAATTCACTATTTGGTAACTCTATAGACCACGGAAGATCATGGTTTACTATTTGTACTTCCATAGTGCCTAGGAGCGCCAATCCTGGACCAAGACCATATTGTGCTAGGCATGGGTGGCAGGTATAATACGCCAGGTGCTTTATTATGCCCCATGCAGGTTCTGGGGCAGCACCTGTTACTCAGCTTCCTGGGTGTGGTGTTCTGTCCCCTCTAGTGGCTCTGAGACCACTTAGAGAGCTATGGCTACAGAGCAGTCTTGTTAATCCAACAACCATATGACTTTGAGCTCATACAGTAGAGGCTCATGCACTAAGCTCCAGAGGCCCTGGGTTCGATCCTAGTGGCTCCGAGACCACTAGGTGCTGTACAAATAGAAAACAAAGACAGTCCCTGCCCCAAGATTATTACGCATATTCAGTAGAGGCTTTTTAGGGACTGGCAGCAAAGATTTCATCTGCATTGAGCATGCTTTAAAAAAAAAAAAAAAAAAGCTGAGCAGGACTTTTACAGCAATTGTTTCCCTGGGCTGCTGAGCACCAGGCACCAGAACTAGGAGCACAGAATATTTCTCCTGTGTTCACACTACTGGCAGCCAGTCAGCACAGAAGGGGAGAAGAAGACAGCCTGACTCAAATGCAGAGGAATAAACATGGAAATGGACATGCTGGAATACGGATAAATGGCAGGATAATAGCGTGGGGAGGCGGCCTTGGGTTATCCTGCCTTTTCTACTTCTGCTTCCCACATCCTGCTCCTATTGCCTCTGCTTTCCACCAGTTTCTCCAGGCACTCAGGTCAACCCTGTGTCCCCCAGTCCTCTTCTTTAGATGATGGATAGGTTCCTGCCTCCCTTCACACCCATCCCACTGCTCCACTCTGAACACTGAATAAGGCAGATGTCCTGTGGAAAATATAGGGTCACTTAAATACTATCATAATGTATACAATATAAGAGGGTTCAATTAAAGTTGCACAGGCAAACTTTACTCTGGAATTCCTTAATTTTTGTGCATTTGATTTTGCAACTTTAACATTTTTATGTAGATTTATGAATATATATGTATTAATGTTACAGAATGTGCCAAAACTGGAACCTTGAATCCAAATCCTTGTCAGAGCTACAGGATGAACTGCACCTTGGTCTCCTTAGTCCATCTTTAGTACACCCTGACAGGCCAGGTTCCTGCACCTCACTCTGGGTGGAACCAAGCAGTCCAACCACTTTGTGACTGGGTCTCTGACTTGCAACCCCCAGTGGTTCCCAACCACGGTTAACACCAGAAGCCCAACCTCATTTTTGGCACCCGTAAGAGTTTCCCTTCAGGAGCCTGTGACAACATAAGTTTGCAGTGACACAGAAATTGTATCTTCAAAACAAAGCATTATTTATTCATTCTTCAAAAGTACAAAGCACACAGATCAAAAGATAAAACAGAACATCTACACACATGGGTATTGCTTTATAAAAGCTGGCAAGGAAAATTTAAGATGTAAGAACCCCTCTGCCCTGCTGATTCTATCTCTGGCAGGGAGAAGCCGACTACATTCCTTTGTGCTTGCCAGACTGTCCACTTTCCACTGACATACTCTACGCAGTCTTTTCTAGCTCACCCAAAGTTCCTCCATTTTCTAAAGTCTTTGAGGTTTAGGATCCTCCAAGATCCCTGGCTTTAGCCCTGGGAAGAGTAAACCTTTTTAGTTTGGATGAAGCCAGACAATTTCTTCCCTGTTGATGGTCCAGCCATTGTTAACTCCTTTGAAGCTGTTTACCCCAGAGGTCTTATTTTTGCCACTGTTTCATTTCTGGTGGGTTACCCCGGCAACTTCCTTTGAGTTAACTACGAATTCAGGCAGGATAATCTTACCCAGATAAACTGAGTTGCATATGATTGATTGATTTATAAATAGATAAACAGTGATTTCCCAGTTCTCACCACTTGTAGTCAGATTTTTTTTTTTTTAAGCCTAGAAGACCACCTGCATAACAGGACATAAAATCTCATCTAGTAATTCCTGCACAGAACCCACCCCTACGGTTTTGATTCCAGGTTGGATTCAAAACTGCAGTGATTGTTAAATTTTTATTCTAGTTTGGATGCAACTGAAATCTTGACATTTTGGCCCCAAAGCCTTGCAAAGACAGGTGGAGAGTTTATGCCACAACTGAACAAGTAGTTTAGCATAAAATCTAACGTGGATCTGAACACTAACCATTGAGCTCTCCAACTTTTAAGGAAGGTTCATTTTTAAAAAGAGCCATTTATTAGGAAAGAATGAGGGTCTGGGACACTGACTTTACAAAGGAGGTTTAAGCCGTAATTAACTGCTAATATCTAAAATAAATTAAGCTAATATTTTAAAAGCTTGACACGGTAAAGAATTACAGGTTAATAATGCTTTATTTACTGAAGACTGGGGTATAGTATTTGTTATAAGTTATCTATAAGCCTTCATTGAGGATACGTCAACTAAAATTTAGCATTGCCATCTTGAGGTAAAATTCAAGATGGTGACATGGTGAAAGAACAAAGCTACAAAATGCCAAATTTATTAGCTGCTTGAGGACTTGCAGGAAGGTACGAGTAATCTTAAATTTTCTAGTTAAGTTTCAAATGAAATTAATGCAAATCCTAAAACAAGAGACCCTAAAGCATAACTGTCGGTAGGTACGGGTGAGGGGGAGTTGCAGGGAGAGGAACATCTGTTCAAAAGGGACATCATAGATCATTTTTGCCCAACTCTAAGGGAAAGTATATATCCCATGGCACTTTTTGAAAAGAAAAAAAAATAACTGGTCTCCTTACCATTATCATCCCTCTTTATAAGACAGGTTCTAATGTTTATGGGTCTGTGAAAGTTTTTACTGAGGGTATATTAGCTGCTGCTTTTGCCTACAAAGATCACTGTACTACCAGTATTTATCTAACTGTATTCTAACAAAGTGTTTTGGAACTCCTACAGCAAGAAATGTGCTACTGTATAAAAGCCACATACTATTCTACAATTATTTAATAAGATTAGCTGTATGACAGATACTAGCTCACAGACCCCCTAGGTTTGACAGGTAGGGTTAGTGGTAGGATATTGAGCCATGGTGGTTTTATTCATTTAAAATCTTTGTCTGGTAAATAAATACAGCTCTGAAGATTTTTCTGTCCTACAGAAGAGATGAATGGAAATCCACCAGATATTCTCTTGCCTGGGCTCTAACCAATGCCTCCAAAGTACACCTCTACCCCGATATAACGTGACCAGATATAACATGAATTTGGATATAACACAGTAAAACAGCGCTCCGTGGAGGCGGGGCTGTGCGCTCCGGTGGATCAAAGCAAGTTCAATATAACGCGGTTTCACCTATAACACAATAAGATTTTTTGGCTCCGGAGGACAGCGTTATTCCGGGGTAGAGGTGTACCTTAAATGTTTTCATCTGAAGGCCTCAGTTAACTTATCACATAACTCTACATGGGAGGATCGCTCAATAAACTGGCAGTAAAAGTTTTTCACTGCACCTAGTTTAAGGCTTCTCACAGATAAGCATGTCACACTGGTGAAGCTAACAGCTTGAAGGAGAGCAGAGAAGGATGAAGAATGATGCATTTCCAGCAAGCAGCTAGCCCAGGAGTACAGCAGTTTTGGAGAAGAAAGTCAGCCCTCTTAGCAGTAACTGAATCACATGATGCAATTGCAATATTGATATGGAGCAAGAGGAAAGGGGATGGGTCAGTGAAGAAAATGAGAGCAGAATAAAGTACTAAGCAAAAACTGCATGTTTTAACTAGCTAATATCCTAGATGCCTGTGCAGAAGAGACATAGTAAAGTTTCTGGCCAAAGCCAGGTAAAGAAAGAACCTACGCTGCCAGAAAACAGAAAGGCTGTTTGAGACTCACCTTAACTCAGGATAGACATTTTCAAGATACCACTTGAAAGGTTTGCAGCTAAGTCTCTTTCTCAATTCCATTCGGCTTTGAATACTAGAGAGAAACAAAAACAGCAAGTTCTGGCAGTTGCATTAGATGCATTTTAAAGCACATTTAATAAGCGAGACATTTATCAGTAGAAATATATTTCAAAGAAATGAAACACCCCTTTGCTCTCATGAACTACTAATGGCAAACAGAATAAGTGAATAGTAAGAAGCAGCAGATTAGACTTACTTGCCGTAAGGTACGTTTCTGGCTGAAGGCACTGCTGCGTAATAGAAATTTTTGTACTCATCCATCCACACTTCTGCTGCCCTACGCGTATTTCTAGGAACAAATCAAATTGAGATGCAGATTATGTTTACTCCTGTCACAATCATGACACTTATTTTTGTCTGTTTTGATTATGTTTATTTTTTCCCCACCCACTACTACACATATCAGAGAGGTGCTATGACTGAAGCACACACATTTGGAATGGACTTTGTGCCTTCCTTGTGGAGCAGGCCTGCTCCACACTTAAAATTTAGGTCAACATAGCTATAATGCTCAAGAGTGTGAAAAATCCACACCAAGTGCCTCAGCTATGCCATTATAGTCCCACAGTGTAGAGATAGCCTAAGGGCTTGTCAACACATGAAAATTAACCCATAATAAGATAGGGTATGAATTTAAAGTGGATTACCTATTCCTGATTAATTCCATGTGTGGACATACTTATTTTGCAATAAAAGAGTTCATACATGGTGTTAATCAGGAATAGCAGACCAGCCCTAATAGCAGGTCCCAGCTTCCAATTAGAAAAGGTAAAAAGTTTAGTTCAAGGCTTTCATTTTCTACAAAGCTCTTTTTGAAAGCAATTTTGTTAATTCATTAGGCCACATCTTGCAAAGAAACCAAAATTTACTGAGTGGTTTTTGAATCAGCAACTTGGAAGAATCTAAAATCTCAACAGCTGGCAATATTTGACAGTTTGCCTTTTATTTTACAAGCAGTTTTCACTAAAGCCAGAGAAAACTGACACACCATCTTATGGAATGTGCATTTCTCAACCTCCTTTTTGTTCCTCCACTACACACCACCTTGAACGGATAAATAATTGTAAGTGGTGAAAAATTTAGACTTATGAACCTAGAGGTTTTGTTACAGCTGAGATGACAAAGAATAAGCTGAAGGTTAGACATTTAAATAGTGTTACAAATTCTGCATTAAAGATATGAAAATGTTGTCCAAACTCTTCAGAGATTTCTGTGTATTTTTATATATTTATCTTTATGTAAAAAGAGTGTCTTTAAACCTATTCTGAGCTGCAACGTGACTAAAGCTTTGTCATTCTCCAGAATATTCCTCTCATCATTCTGTAAAAAAGTTCTCTTCTGCTTGAGTACAGTCACAAAAAGCAACTCTAAGCTTTTATCAATTCAACATTAAATAGATAATCTTGCACAGAAACATATTACCTGATTAGATGTTGTCTTCAAAAAACCTGGTGTGTTACATATGCATACACAGAAGCAGCATCCATGTAGCAAATATTACAGAACCAAATGATAAATATCACACACCTCTGACTGCCTCAGTTGCCTTCTGTCCATTAACCAATCACCCCCAAAACTTACAAATATTTGTAATATTCCAAAATACTAGGTAGCTTCCAAAAGCTTTTTCTTTATAGGTCAGCCTACCAAAGAAATATTTTCCCCTTCTCTTTCAAATATGGTATTCCTATATGCCAAAAATTACCTCATATGAGAACTGGTTTGGGCAATCCTGTCCCAGTAACAGATTTTCTGTGCATAAAAATATCACAATTTGATAGTATGTTGTCATCAGATTCTGTAAGGCTAGAAATAGGAGCTTTATGCTATTGAGGGTGTCAAGGTTCCTCCCCCACGCTGAACTCTAGGGTACAGATGTGGGGACCTGCATGAAAAACCTCCTAAGCTTATCTTTACCACCTTAGGTCAAAACTTCCCCAAGGTACAAAATATTCCACCCTTTGTCCTTGGATTGGCCGCTACCACCACCAAACTAATACTGGTTACTGGGGAAGAGCTGTTTGGACGCGTCTTTCCCCCCAAAATACTTCCCAAAACCTTGCACCCCACTTCCTGGACAAGGTTTGGTAAAAAGCCTCACCAATTTGCCTAGGTGACTACAGACCCAGACCCTTGGATCTTAAGGACAATGAACAATCCTCCCAACACTTGCACCCCCCCTTTCCTGGGAAATGTTGGATAAAAAGCCTCACCAATTTGCATAGGTGACCACAGACCCAAACCCTTGGATCTGAGAACAATGAAAAAGCATTCAGTTTTCTTACAAGAAGACTTTTAATAAAAATAGAAGTAAATAGAAATAAAGAAATCCCCCCTGTAAAATCAGGACGGTAGATACCTTACAGGGTAATTAGATTCGAAAACAGAGTACCCCTCTAGGCAAAACCTTAAGTTACAAAAGAGATACACAGACAGAAATAGTTATTCTATTCAGCACAGTTCTTTTCTCAGCCATTTAAAGAAATCATAATCTAACACATACCTAGCTAGATTACTTACTAAAAGTTCTAAGACTCCATTCCTGGTCTATCCCCGGCAAAGACAGAATATAGACAGACACACAGGCCCTTTGTTTCTCTCCCTCCTCCCAGTTTTGAAAGTATCTTGTCTCCTCATTGGTCATTTTGGTCAGGTGCCAGCGAGGTTACCTTTAGCTTCTTAACCCTTTACAGGTGAGAGGAGCTTTCCCCTGGCCAGGAGGGATTTCAAAGGGGTTTACCCTTCCCTTTATATTTATGACAGAGGGGGAGATTCTCATCTTCTCAGTGGAACCCAGCATTTGCTTCTAGACTTGGGAGATTGTGAGACACCTTCAATTTTAAAAAAAGAAAAGGAGTACTAGTGGCACCTTAGAGACTAACCAATTTATCTGAGCATAAGCTTTCATGAGCTACAGCTCAGTTCATCGGATGCATCCGATGAAGTGAGCTGTAGCTCACGAAAGCTTATGCTCAAATAAATTGGTTAGTCTCTAAGGTGCCACTAGTCCTCCTTTTTTCTTTTTGCGAATACAGACTAACATGGCTGCTACTCTGAAATCTTCAATTTTAAGTAGTTATGTACTTTAGGTCATTTTTAGACATCTCTCTGACCTCCTGAGGTATGTACGATTGGACAGGAAGGATATGGACAATATTCCCAGTACAAACTTTTTAAACTCTCTAAAATGTAGTTTTTCAGCTCTTCCTCCTGTCAAAACTTTCTCTTCACACACACCCCCTGCTCCCAGAGGGAGCCTTATTTCCTTTTACAAAATTAGAAGTGATCGTTTGGGGAATTAAAGTTTTATTTCATTAGCCCCTTCCATGCTCTGAAGCCTATTTTGTACATTTGGCAATAAAAATCTCTAGTGATTTATGGGACATTACCCATCTTCATCAGCTCAGGGAGGATAAGTCCATCAATGGCTATTAGCCAAGATGTTCAGGGATTCAACCCCATGTTTCAGAGTAACAGCCGTGTTAGTCTGTATTCGCAAAAAGAAAAGGAGTATTTGTGGCACCTTAGAGACTAACCAATTTATTTGGGCATCCGATGAAGTGAGCTGTAGCTCACGAAAGCTTGTGCTCAAATAAATTGGTTAGTCTCTAAGGTGCCACAAGTACTCCTTTTCTTTTTGCGAACCCCATGTTATGGCTGTCCCTAGCCTCTGGTTTGCAAGAAGCTAGGAGTGGACAACGGGGGATGGATCACTCAATGATTGACTGTTCTGTTCATTCCCTCTGCAGCACCTGGCATTGGCCACTGCTGGAAGACAGGATACTGGGCTAGATGGACCTTTGGTCTGACCCAGTATGGCTGTTCTTATGTTATCTTTGGAGAAACATATTGCTTTGGGAGTTAAAGACATCTTTAATTTGTATCCTTCTGATTCTGCAGGGGAAATGAAATGACCACGAGCTGGTCAAAAACTCCTGAGTGCAAAAACCACAAGCAAAGAGGAAGCTCAAACAATCTCTGCGTTTTGATTGACGATAATTTCCTTGTGGAAACTGCTAATTTTCTAAATAAACTCCCTTTCAGCCAAAACCGAGGAGTTATTTTTCAGCTCCCCCTCTGCTTCTGGCTTTTGTCAGGGATACTTCCTAATTTAGTCAACAGCAATTCAAGTATAAACAAAATTGTAATAATTAACCTTATCCACCCCCCCCCCCAAAAGCAATTACAGTGACTTGAAAGGGTTTTCACGGCCTTTCAGTCCTTGATGCAGCTGGGCAGCCAAAGGGGGAGGAGGAGGAAAATCAGCCATGTGGAAAGGCAGAGCAGGAGAGACATTGGTTACAGATTTCAGAGTAGCAGCCGTGTTAGTCTGTATTCACAAAAAGAAAAGGAGTACTTGTGGCACCTTAGAGACTAACCAATTTATCTGAGCATAAGCTTTCGTGAGCTACAGCTCACTTCATCGGATGCATTCAGTGGAACTCACGAAAGCTTATGCTCAAATAAATTTGTTAGTCTCTAAGGTGCCACAAGTACTCCTTTTCTTTTTGCGAATACAGACTTCCACTATCTTTACAGTTCAAGCTGGTATTGGTTTCTTAAAATCATTTTGAAGAACAAAGATAGGGACATGTTGTTCTAAAAAGATTTTCCCTTCCAGTATTTTCCCCATTCACCCATTACACCTAATGAGTGTAAGGATGTCTGTCTGAATGAGGAGGTCCTACCTGTGCACCCTTGCAATTTGACTGCATAACTGACATCACAGGCCAGAACCTTTCCAACCCAAATGCAGTTGTAGATAGTGCTCCAGACATACAGTAATTTGATTTACCACACACAGTTATATTGTATATAGAGACACCCTTTCCTCTTGCTCAAATCTGGGCTACATTTCTTTTAGTATAAGAGCTCGGTGAATAATAGATTTTTTCGGTTCACTAACTGAAAAAAATGACGACTTTTTCAGCAAATAGAAAAGTAAAAAAACCTGAGTTAAAACAAAATGTTTCAGTAATGACAAAACATTTAATTACTACCCAAATACTTTCATTTCAGTGTTCAGGCATTTTGAAAAAAGCAAAGGAAAGGAGGACTATATTCACAAAATTGCTGGAAGGAAAGGAGTACTTGTGGCACCTTAGAGACTAAAAAATTTATTTGAGCATAAGCTTTCATGAGCTACAGCTCACTTCATAGAATATCAAGTTCGGAAGGGACCTCAGGAGGTCATCTAGTCCAACCCCCCGCTCAAAGCAGGACCAATCCCCAATTTTTGCCACAGATCCCTAAATGGCCCCCTCAAGGATTGAGCTCACAACCCTGGGTTTAGCAGGCCAATGCTCAAACCACTGAGCTATCCTTCCCCCCATCGGATGCATTCAGTGGAAAATACAGTGGGGAGATTTATATACACAGAGAACATGAAACAGTGGGTGTTACCATACACACTGTAACAAGAGTGATCAGGTAAGGTGAGCTATTACCAACAGAAGAGCAGGCGGGGTGGGGGGAACCTTTTGTAGTGATAATCAAGGTGGGCCATTTCCAGCAGTTGACAAGAACATCTGAGGAACAGTGGGGGGGGGGGCAGGATAAACATGGGGAAATAGTTTTACTTTGTGTAATGACCCATGCACTCCCTGTCTCTATTCAAGCCTAAGTTCATTGTATCCAGTTTGCAAATTAATTCCAATTCAGCAGTCTCTCCTTGGAGTCTGTTTTTGAAGTTTTTTTGTTGAAGTATTGCCACTTTTAGGTCTGTAATCGAGTGACCAGAGAGATTGAAGTGTTCTCCAACTGGTTTTTGAATGTTATAACCCTTGACGTCTGATTTGTGTCCATTTATTCCTTTACGTAGAGATTGTCCAGTTTGGCCAATGTACATGGCAGAGGAGCACTGCTGGTACATGATGGCATATATCACATTTGTAGATCTGCAGGTGAACGAGCCTCTGATATTGTGGCTGATGTGATTAGGCCCTATGATGTATTCAGGGCACACCACTCCCCACTGTTCCTCAGATATTCTTGCCAACTGCTGGAAATGGCCCACCTTGATTATCACTACAAAAGGTCGCCCCCAACCCCCCACCCAGCTCTCCTGCTGGTAATAGCTCACCTTACCTGATCACTCGCTGTAGCTCACGAAAGCTCATGCTCAAATAAATTGGTTAGTCTCTAAGGTGCCACAAGTACTCCTTTTCTTTTTGCGAATACAGACTAACACGGCTGTTACTCTGAAACCTCTCATTACAGTGTGTATGGTAATACCCATTGTTTTATGTTCTCTGTGTATATAAATCTCCCCACTGTATTTTCCACTGAATGCTTCCGATGAAATGAGCTGTAGCTCACGAAAGCTTATGCTCAAATAAATTTGTTAGTCTCTAAGGTGCTACAAGTCCTCCTTTTCTTTATGCGAATACAGACTAACACGGCTGCTACTCTGAAACTTGTCAAAATTGTTGGAGAAGGTGGTGATGGTGCCTCCCTTAAAAGCTCTTTCTCCCTGGCCCAATGACTATCCATTGTCATTCATAGTGACAATTTGTACAGGGAAAGTGTGAGAATGACACTGCAACCTGGACTGTAGAGCACTCTCCCTCAGCCCTGGTCTACACTAGGACTTTAGGTCGAATTTAGCAGCATTAAATAGATGTAAACCTGCACCCGTCCACACGATGAAGCTCTTTATTTCGACTTAAAGGGCTCTTAAAATCGATTTCCTTACTCCACCCCTGACAAGTGGATTAGCGCTTAAATCGGCCTTGCCGGCTCGAATTTGGGGTACTGTGGACACAATTCGACGGTATTGGCCTCCGGGAGCTATCCCAGAGTGCTCCATTATGACCGCTCTGGACAGCACTCTCAACTCAGATGCACTGGCCAGGTAGACAGGAAAAGAACCGCAAACTTTTGAATCTCATTTCCTGTTTGGCCAGCGTGGCAAGCTGCAGGTGACCATGCAGAGCTCATCAGCACAGGTGACCATGATGGAGTCCCAGAATCGCAAAAGAGCTCCAGTATGGACCGAACGGGAGGTACGGGATCTGATCGCTGTTTGGGGACAGGAATCCGTGCTATCAGAACTCCGTTCCAGTTTTCGAAATGCCAAAACCTTTGTGAAAATCTCCCAGGGCATGAAGGACAGAGGCCATAACAGGGACCCAAAGCAGTGCCGCGTGAAACTGAAGGAGCTGAGGCAAGCCTACCAGAAAACCAGAGAGGCGAACAGCCACTCTGGGTCAGAGCCCCAAACATGCCGCTTCTATGATGAGCTGCATGCCATTTTAGGGGGTTCAGCCACCACTACCCCAGCCGTGTTGTTTGACTCCTTCAATGGAGATGGAGGCAATACGGAAGCAGGTTTTGGGGATGAAGAAGATGATGATGATGAGGAGGTTGTAGATAGCTCACAGCAAGCAAGCGGAGAAACCGGTTTTCCCGACAGCCAGGAACTGTTTCTCACCCTAGACCTGGAGCCAGTACCCCCCGAACCCACCCAAGGCTGCCTCCTGGACCCAGCAGGCGGAGAAGGGACCTCTGGTGAGTGTACCTTTTAAAATACTATACATGGTTTAAAAGCAAGCATGTGAAAGGATTACTTTGCCCTGGCATTTGCGGTTCTCCTAGATGTAGTCCTAAAGCCTTTGCAAAAGGTTTCTGGGGAGGGCAGCCTTATTGCGTCCTTCATGGTAGGACACTTTACCACTCCAGGCCAGTAACACGTACTCGGGAAACATTGTAGAACACAGCATTGCAGTGTATGTTTGCTGGCATTCAAACAACATCCGTTCTTTATCTCTCTGTGTTATCCTCAGGAGAGTGAGATATAATTCATGGTCACCTGGTTGAAATAGAGTGCTTTTCTTCAGGGGACACTCAGAGGAGCCCATTCCTGCTGGGCTGTTTGCCTGCGGCTGAACAGAAATGTTCCCCGCTGTTAGCCACAGGGAGGGGGGAAGGTTGAGGGGGTAGTCACGCGGTGGGAGGAGGCAAAATGCGACCTTGTAACGAAAGCACATGTGCTATGTATGTAATGTTAACAGCAAGGTTTACCCTGAAAGAGTGTAGCCACTGTTTTATAAAATGTGTCTTTTTAAATACTGCTGTCCCTTTTTTTTTCTCCACCAGCTGCATGTGTTTCGATGATCACAGGATCTTCTCCTTCCCAGAGGCTAGTGAAGCTTAGAAAGAAAAAAAAACGCACTCACGATGAAATGTTCTCCGAGCTCATGCTGTCCTCCCACACTGACAGAGCACAGACGAATGCGTGGAGGCAAATAATGTCAGAGTGCAGGAAAGCACAAAATGACCGGGAGGAGAGGTGGCGGGCTGAAGAGAGTAAGTGGCGGGCTGAAGAGAGGGCTGAAGCTCAAATGTGGCGGCAGCGTGATGAGAGGAGGCAGGATTCAATGCTGAGGCTGCTGCAGGACCAAACCAGTATGCTCCAGTGTATGGTTGAGCTGCAGCAAAGGCAGCTCGAGCACAGACTGCCACTGCTGCCCCTCTGTAGCCAACCGCCCTCCTCCCCAAGTTCCATAGCCTCCACACCCAGACGCCCAAGAACGCGGTGGGGGGGCCTCCGGCCAACCAGCTACTCCACCACAGAGGATTGCCCAAAAAAAAGAAGGCTGGCATTCAATAAATTTTAAAGTTGTAAACTTTTAAAGTGCTGTGCTTAAAGTGCTGTGTGGCATTTTCCTTCCCTCCTCCACCACCCCTCCTGGGCTACCTTGGTAGTCATCCCCCTATTTGTGTGATGAATGAATAAAGAATGCATGAATGTGAAGCAACAATGACTTTATTGCCTCTGCAAGCGGTGATTGAAGGGAGGAGGGGAGGGTGGTTAGCTTACAGGGAAGTAGAGTGAACCAAGGGGCGGGGGGTTTCATCAAGGAGAAACAAAGAGAACTTTCACACCGTAGCCTGGCCAGTCATGAAACTGGTTTTCAAAGCTTCTCTGATGCGTACCGCGCCCTCCTGTGCTCTTCTAACCGCCCTGGTGTCTGGCTGCGCGTAACCAGCAGCCAGGCGATTTGCCTCAACCTCCCACCCCGCCATAAACGTCTCCCCCTTACTCTCACAGATATTGTGGAGCACACAGCAAGCAGTAATAACAGTGGGAATATTGGTTTCGCTGAGGTCTAAGCGAGTCAGTAAACTGCGCCAGCGCGCCTTTAAACGTCCAAATGCACATTCTACCACCATTCTGCACTTGCTCAGCCTGTAGTTGAACAGCTCCTGACTACTGTCCAGGCTGCCTGTGTACGGCTTCATGAGCCATGGCATTAAGGGGTAGGCTGGGTCCCCAAGGATACATATAGGCATTTCAACATCCCCAACAGTTATTTTCTGGTCTGGGAATAAAGTCCCTTCCTGCAGCTTTTGAAACAGACCAGAGTTCCTGAAGATGCGAGCATCATGCACCTTTCCCGGCCATCCCACGTTGATGTTGGTGAAACGTCCCTTGTGATCCACCAGAGCTTGCAGCACTATCGAAAAGTACCCCTTGCGGTTTATGTACTCGGCGGCTTGGTGCTCCGGTGCCAAGATAGGGATATGGGTTCCGTCTATAGCCCCAGCACAGTTAGGGAATCCCATTGCAGCAAAGCCATCCACTATGACCTGCACATTTCCCAGGGTCACTACCCTTCATATCAGCAGATCTTTGATTGCGTGGGCTACTTGCATCACAGCAGCCCCCACAGTAGATTTGCCCACTCCAAATTGATTCCCAACTGACCAGTAGCTGTCTGGCGTTGCAAGCTTCCACAGGGCTATCGCCACTCGCTTCTCAACTGTGAGGGCTACTCTCATCTTGGTATTCATGCGCCTCAGGGCAGGGGAAAGCAAGTCACAAAGTTCCATGAAAGTGCCCTTACGCATGCGAAATTTTCGCAGCCACTGGGAATCGTCCCAGACCTGCAACACTATGCGGTCCCACCAGTCTGTGCTTGTTTCCCGAGCCCAGAATCGGCGTTCCACAGCATGAACCTGCCCCATTAGCACCATGATGCATGCATTGGCAGGGCCCATGCTTTCAGAGAAATCTGTGTCCATGCCCTGATCACTCACGTGACCGCGCTGACGTCGCCTCCTCGCCCGGTATCGCTTTGCCAGGTTCTGGTGCTGCATATACTGCTGGATAATGCGTGTGGTGTTTAATGTGCTCCTAATTGCCAAAGTGAGCTGAGCGGCCTCCATGCTTGCCTTGGTATGGCATCCGCACAGAAAAAAGGCGCGGAACTATTGTCTGCCGTTGCTCTGACGGAGGGAGGGGCGACTGACGACACGGCTTACAGGGTTGGCTTCAGGGAGCTAAAATCAACAAAGGGGGTGCCTGTACATCAAGGAGTATTTCAGGCAGGACTGCACGGAGGGTTCCAATAAGAAATGGTGCACCTAAGTTATCGTTCTTATTGGAACAAGGAGGTTAGCCTGGCCTCTGATTGATACATGGCTAGATTTACCTCGCTGCACCTTCTCTGTGAGTGACTGCAGTGTGATCTAGAGGAATGAGTCCCCTAGACAGGGGAGGAGGCAAATGAGGACAAAACAAATCTGGTCTATTTCTTGTTCTGAGCCACTCCATCTATCTTTTACATCTTTGGCTGACAGCAGACGGTGCAGAAGGACTGCATGCCATCCACATCTCATGACTGCTCGGCAGAAGATGGTATAGTACGACTGCTAGCAGTCCGTATCGCCTGCCCGCTCACCATAAGACGGTTCAATAGGACTGACTGCAGGACTAAAGAGAATGACCTGGTCAAGTCACTCCAAATTTAGTCCCTGCACCCATGTCTGCCCAGGCGCTCCCAGCTGACGTGGCCAGGAGCACCTCGGACATGACGATGACGGCTACCAGTCGTACTGTACCGTCTGCTGCCAGAAGGCAAGGGGTTGCTGCTACTGTGTAGCAATGCCGTACCGCGTCTGCCAGCACCCAGGAGACATAGGGTGACGGTTACCTGAGCGGGCTCCATGCTTGCAGTGGTATGGCGGCTGCACAGGTAACTCAGGAAAAAAGGCGCGAAATGATTGTCTGCCCTTGCTTTCACGGAGGGAGGGAGGGAACGGGGGCCTGACGATATGTACCCAGAACCACCCGCGACAATGTTTTAGCCCCATCAGGCATTGGGATCTCAACCCAGAATTCCAATGGGCAGTGGAGACTGTGGGAACTGTGGGATAGCTACCCACAGTGCAACGCTCTGGAAGTCGACTCTAGCCTCGGTACTGTGGAAGCGCTCCGCCGAGTTAATGCACTTAATGCACTTAGAGCATTTTCTGTGGGGACACACACACTCGAATATATAAAACCGATTTCTAAAAAACCGACTTCTATAAATTCGACCTTATTCCGTACTGTAGACATACCCTCAGTGTGGGAGACACAATTTCAAATTCTTTGTCTCTCACATTCCAGGTGAATGCCCTAACCACTGGGCTAAAACTTATAAGGGATGAACCTCCACCTCTTGTCATTTTCTGAATCTGGTGTCTGCCTTTCCTTTGCTTTGTCAAAATGTCTGAAATTTAAAATAGAATTTTTGGTCAGAACCAAAAAGTTGAACTTTGACATTACCAAAACATTTTGATTTTTCCAGTTTGGTTGAAACAGTTCTGTGAATCTGATACAAATTCGCAAATAGTTTTGGTTAACCCAAACATGCTTTCTTGGCTAGTAAGCTATTTGTCTGAAAAATTTCGCCCATCTCTATTAAGTACCTATTAAGTCTTTTGTGAGGAAAAGCGTCTTGGCATTAGCCCAAAACTGAAAATTGCAGAGCAGTGTGCAAATTACATAGTCTTTCATTAACATGACCCTGAAAGCTACTGTGAAATTGATATGCAGTTACGTCATAAACCCAACCCATATAGTGGAATCAGTAGATCATCTTATTCCCTGGTGTAATATTAATATAATGTAATCAAGACAGGGTATTTCATTATCCATCTTTTGTTTCTTCACATGTGCCATTAATAATTTTCCACAGCAGCATAACATTCAGATCTCAACAGAAAGGGGAAAGCAGATATTTAAAGAAAAATCCCTGCTAAAACTATTCAGAGAAACAAGACCAGTATTTTATTTCACCAAATCAGCCAATTCATTAGTGCTGCGTAAAAAGTAGAATCAATTTGCACTTCCAAAGAGAGTATTTTATCTAATGTGAAACACTGCCTAAGGGATTGGCTCAAAAGCTTCCAGGTGTGAAGAACGTATGTCTGGGCTCCCTAGATCAGTGGTTTTCAAAGTTCAGGTTCCGACCAGCACTGGATCGTGGAATGCAAGGCACTGGGTTGCCTTACTCAGCACCCAGAGACCCTAGCATCCAGCCAGTGAAAACTAGTAGCCCCTTCCTGTTCTGAAACCGCACTGCATCCTGGCAACAGGTCCGGCTCGTAGGCAGGGGGGCCAAAGGGCTCCGAGTGCTGCCCCCACCCCAAGCACTGGCTCCGCACTCGGGGGTGGGGGGGGGCCTGTGGGCGAGAGCCACTTGGAGTCGCTTGCGCGCCTCCACTTAGGAGCCAGACCTGCTGGCTGCTTCTGGGGCACAGCGCAGTCCGCGGTGCCAGGACAGGCAGGAAGCCTGCCTCTGCACCCTGACTGTGCTGCTGACCAGGAGCAGCTGGAGGTAAGCCCACGCCCCAATCCCCTGCCCCACCCCTGAGCCGCCCAACCCCCCCCAATGCAGAGCCCCCTCCCACATCCCAAACCCCTCATCCCCAGCTCCATTGAATCGCGGGCATCAACAATTTTCTTCTATTGGGTCACCAGGAAAAAAAAAGTTTTAAAACCACTGCTCTAGATGACTCGTATTAAATATGATTTGCTTGGGCTCCAGAATCCCTACAGTACAAAACACATCATTTTATTCTGTTTGCATTTAGCATTTTGTAAATCCTATAAATTATTGATGCTTCATCAACTTGGGAGAACTTGGAGGAATTCCCAAACGCAAATGCTCGACATACTTTGTGCCTAGAATAAGGGTTTGTCTATGCTACGGATACTACAGTGGCTCAGCTACAGTGCTGTGGTGACGTAATATAGACTCTTCTTACAGTGATAGAAGGGGTTTTTCCATATGCCTTGCCAAGTGGTGGTAGCATTTGTCCATCAACTTAGTAGCATCTACACTGGGTTAGGCTGGCATAGCTATGGTGCTCAATTTCACACCCCTTAATGACATACTTATGTTGATCTAAACTTTAAGTGTAGACCAGGCCTCACGCTGCATCTCTGATTCTTTGGGAAAAGAACACGTGAATGTAAGACTACTACAATGTACTTATACTGTACCTTGATGCATAGGTCTCAAAGCTCTTTACAAAAGTTGATAAAAATCACTTTCCTCATTCTACAGAACTGAGAAAAAGTTAGTGATTCAAGTTCACACAGTGAATCAATAGCAGAGATGGGATTTCTTAACTTCTGAACCATGCTGCCTCCCCAAAAAGGTGGTGGTGGGGGAGGAGGGTTAAAGTTACAGTACAAGGAAGGAAAACTTCATATAACAAACACAGAAAGAAAGAGGAGTGGATATTTTTGACAGGTCAGATTCTAATAGGTACTACTCATTGCAAGTATCAGAATCTGGGCCTATGTGATTACTAGCATGACACCACAGAATTGTTTAGTATTGAACTAGCAACCCCAAACCAAAATGTAACACACAAATATACAAAAAGATCACACCATTGGTGGATTCTGAGTGTCTGACGTGGAAAAATGAACAATTTAATTTTCTTCATCTTTTAAAAACAGACTGAATACTGAAGATAAAGCCTTTATTTCCCTCAAGACCTTTTAAGAAGATATACACACAAAGTTTTCAAAGTTGATAAGTTTCCATTGTTAAAATATTTTCCATTGCTTCCCTTTCCCCATTTGGCCCAGAATTCTTCCGGCTGATAGCAGGCAATTCCTCGCCTCTTTATTAAAACATTTCACCACTATCAGCTTAATCTTCCAATTTTTATTTTTGCCCTAATTTCAGCATCTGCGTTATCACTAGGGCTGAAAGGTAATCTCCTTTTAATTAAAAAATTTCTTCGTAAGATTTTCACTTCAGATCCTATTGTACATATTTTTAGTAAAAGGCCCTGGAAGTTTAATGAAGTTACTGCCACCTGCTGGCTAACTGGAAAACACCCAAAATCCACAGTTCCACAGTTTAGCCAAGAACTTGCAAATAGTTACCTTGCAAACACAGTACCACTCCCACCAGGGAAGGTGTAAGGATGTTGCTTGCGGAATACATGACCCACTCTGCTGCATGGGATAATTTCAAGGCTCCCTCCACATTGCCACACTCTGAATGAAATCTCTGCAATTAGGAATGCATGATAAGTATCCACATAAACCTAAAGTAATTTGTAAATTCTGACTCTTCACACATTTTTTCAATATATGCACTATGTCACGTAGGATTAAAGGAAAATATTTAGCTTGCAGAGAACATAATGAGCTTTTATAGTACTTGCCTGGAAGAAAAGTAAAGAGGACTCTCTGAAAAAGCTAACAAACTGAGCTTAGCACGTCTGACAGTCTCACTTCAGTGTTCTCTAAACTCTGGAGAAGCAGCTATGGATTTATATCCCTTTGCCTGCCAGTATTTATAAAGTTCCACTGGTGAGTTTTACTAGAGAGTTTACACAGCTTTCGGCCCAGAGATTAAAATCTATAGTGGACCGATGCGAAACAAAACAACTAAATTCAAGTGTGAGCTATGTAGAGTTGTACTTATTGATAAAAGTTTGAAGCTAGTTTGCATAGTTTCAGCAGAGAGCTGGGTGAAGGGTAAGCACACAACAGATGTCAATATTAGAAGTCATATGGGGTTTAGGAGGATTTGTTCTGAATGTCAGATCATGGAATTAGAACTGGCACAGTTTGCATAAAAAGGTAACTTTTTAAAAAAAGGATTGAAATAATCACGAATTCAGTCCAACAAGATAGCGTTTGTATTCAATATTGAAGTTGATTTTATTTTTACAATAAATTTTGAAATACCTGCCTGCAAGCCAAATTCTGTTGCCCGGCCCTGCATGCGTGATCTCTCACACCAAACCGGCAGGCCCTCAATATAAAAGGCAAAATGCGACTATGTAATGTTAACAGCTTGGTTCATCATGAAAGTCGACCCATTGTTCTTTAAAATGTGTCTTTTTAAATACTACTCTCCCTTTTTTTCCCCCTCTCGCAGCTGCAAATGTTTCAACGCTCCCCCTATCATCTCTGTCCCAGGGGCTAGTGCAGATGAGAAGGCAGAAAAAAAAACGCACTCATGATGAAATGTTCTCTGAGCTCATGCAGTCCTCCCACACTGAAAGAGCTCAGAAGAATGTGTGGAGGAAAACAATGGCAGAGTTCAGGAAAGCAGAAAATGAACGCGAGGACAGGAGGGATGAGCAAGATGAGAGGTTGCAGGAGCAAGAGGAGAGGTTGCGGCAGCGTGATGAGAGGAGGCAGGATGCAATGCTGAGGCTACTGGGGGATCAAATGGATATGTTCTGGCGTCTGGTGGAGGAAAGGCAGCAGGAGCACAGACTGCTGCTGCAGCCCCTGTGTAACCGCCCACCCTCCTCCCCAAGTTCCATGCACTCCGCCAACTTAATGCGCTTAGTGTGGACATATGCAATTGACTGCATAAAATCGATTTCTAAAAATTGACTTCTGTAATGTCGACCTAATTTCATAGTGTAGACATACCCTTAGAAACTCTTCACCTTGAGAAATTACAGCTTCCAGCCTGCCCTCCCCGCCCCACCTCAAGCTCTTGATCCTGCAAAGCATTTAAGCACCTGCTTAACTTTAAGCACATGAAGTTAGTAGGACTACTCATGCTTAAAATTAAACATGTACTTAAGTGCTCTTCTGGATTCGGGCCAAAAGAGTGAAAGGAAACCGTATAGAGAACGTGTGGGACAGCAGGAGAGAAAGTGCTTGGACAGGGATCTCAGGGCTGTGTTCCCACAGAAGGAAAAAGGGACTGAGTGAGCTGATGGAACCTTCCATCAGCAGGTAAAGAAAGAAGAGCATTAAAATATACTGACTGGCTCAAGGATAATACTGTATGCACTGGTTTAAAAATGCTTTCAGATAAAGTAAAGTCAACTGCAACATGCAGTATTAGTTTTACAATGAATTTCCTGGTAATTTTTAAAAAAGTGACCATAATTGCAACATTCAAATAAGCATGATTTAGTAATGCACAATCAACATGAGAGCCAAACACATGAATCAAGTGTTTGAATACTCATGTGTATTATAGTTCAGTCAGGAGTTATTTTAGTGAAGTTCCATGGCCTGTGTTAAATAGGAGGTGAGACCAGACAATCCTTCCAATCCTTGAATGTACTAAATTATTTGTATTACTGTAGTGTACTTCTGGCAACAGATTCATATAAATGCACTCCAAGGCTTTAAATAAGTGCTTATGTAAAAACCCTGAATGGATGGATGGATGGATATACGACACACTAAAAGTTTGAAAGTAGTGTACTGTGCATATGCAGTACACAAATTTGAACTGTAAGTGGTTTCTAAATTAAAGTACTTTAAAAAATGTCTAAGATACTTAATATAGTAAAACTATATTTTATTTTATATATTTTAATATAGTAAATCAAAGTAAAACTATTTCCCCTTGTTTATTCCCCCCCCCCCCCCTACTGTTCTGGTCAACTGCTGGAAATGGCCCACCTTGATTATCACTACAAAAGGTTCCCTCCCGCCCCCACTCTCCTGTTGGTAATAGCTCACCTTTCCTGATCACTCTTGTTACAGTGTGTATGGTAACACCCATTGTTTCATGTTCTCTCTGTATAGAAGATCTCCCCCCCTAATATTTTCCACTGTATGCATCCGATGAAGTGAACTGTAGCTCACGAAAGCTCATGCTCTGATAAATTTGTTAGTCTTTAAGGTGCCACAAGTACTCCTTTTCTTTTTGTGGATACAGACTAACACGGCTGCTACTCTGAAACCCCTTAATATAGTCCTTCAGTAAAGACAGAAGCAAATTGGAAGTTCTAAAAAGCTGTCACAGTGAAAAATGTTTTTGAATACACCTCTCCTAGCAGAAGCAGAAAACTTCATGTTACTGTAACCCAAACAACCAAAACAGAATTATTCAGCTCAAATATCACCCTTAGCCCAAGAACAAGCATTAGAACATGGCCAAAGGCCAGTTTTTTCCCAAAATAATAGAACTATCTTAAACTTAGGTCCAAGTGGTCTACTAGGACAGATGATAAAAAATTATATTAGATCAGTCTTCAGACAGCTACATTTTAATTGATTTCTTAAAGTATACATAAGAGGATTAAATCCATGAACTTTTGTGTTCTGCTTTACATGATTAAATTTCAGCAACATCTTAAGAAGTCCCTTAAACTGGTAGCACTTAGACACTGCTGCATTTTAATCAATTTAGCTAGAAGAGAATGCCATTTTAGAGCTATACCGGAAATTATTTTTCAAAAATGCAATCTGTATTCCTGTAATTTCTTACTTCCATTTTATTGGCCTGCCTTTTCACAAAAATAATTGAACTGTATAGATAACAAATGCTTCCCTCTCAGTCACTCATATTCAACATTCTAGTCCTACCCCGTTCTAATTCTTTATTTTAATCTGAAGCTTGGCGGTCTCTGAATTTTTGCCAATAATCCACTTAGTCTTAACTGTCATTTAAATCCTGACTGTACGAACAGAAGAAAGCCATGTACATACCTAAGTTTTCTCCACCCCACACATCCATCATCATATCGTACTTTCCTAACTCTTCGAAATAGAATTTGTCCATCACGAACAACCCGCCAGCTATCATTGGTGTTCTAAAGAGACAGAAGGGAGAAAAGTCAGAAGTTACATATTTAATGATCTGCCAGTTTATTGTGCTTTATCATTTGAACCTTCAAGGCTGAATGCTTACTTGAAGTAGTCTTGCAATATTTTTCTCTTGAAGGCATTTAGTCACTATTCCTTGTATAGCACTACATGCATACCACCACACTAGCATTTCTAAAGAATATACTGCTTCATGGCTTATATACCTAAAGTTTGTTTCTATTTCCAGATCCTTGTTCAGGTCTCTCATTCCTTTTATATAGGACATGTACTCAGAGTCAAACTGAATTTTAAAACCTTTAACATAGTCTTAGCATAATAAAGGTATTAATTTCAATTCAAGAAAGAAGGGGTCATCTTATAAGTGCAGACAGTACACTAAGATCCTTAGAAATAATAGTTATTTTGCACTTATAAGTGCAAAATTCTAGCTAAGGTCTCAAGAGTGCTATATAAGCAATGAAAGAACTAAGCCTCATCACCCCAATGAGGTAGGGTAAATATCCTCTTTTTGCAGCTGGGGAAATGAAGTAGTCCATTCAGTCATATTTACATTTTTCAATGTTTGTCAAGCCAAGTGGTGTACATAGGGTATATATTATAATGTGTTCATGTCATATACATCTGACAGTTAACTGTTGATAGTTAACCTATGATGTTTAACAGGCCAACAAGCAGGTTAAAAAATAGTTCTACACATTCTAGAAAAAGGGAAAAACAGAAGAAGCTCTTGATGTTAACTATTAAATGCTATCAGACTTTTCTTATTACGTTTATCAATAATGGAAGCTGAACAATGAATCACAGTGATTATTTCCATTCAAATCCACAGACTTGTACTATCAGTTTCTTGCTTCTGTTCCATGTGGTACAACACCAGCTTGCACAAAACTAAAAACCATACATGAAGGATGGGAAAGGAAAAAAGTAATGTATGACTCAGCTTCAGGCAATGTTCTAGAAAAACATAGTCCTGCAAGTTTTTGTCTTGCATTTAAACTTTCATAAAAGGACTCCCTAGCACTTATCAGTTAGCATAGGGATCATTTGTCAAAGACAATATTTGGGAGATAGTAGCTCAGGAAGTTGTACTTTTAAAAATATCTACAACATTGTTTTGTGAGGGGAAAGATGTTGACAGGAACATACTTTATGGGAGCAACTGGGTTTCCTTGTCTTGCTCTTCTTTGCTCTGGTGTCATGTAATCCCATTTGAACACCAAGTTCCAATCAAAGCCTAAAAGGGGGGGGGGGAATCAGAAAGGAAAAAAATTGAAAGTTAATTGAAGTTTTAATTCATTGTTCAGCTTTTACTGATGCTTTTTCTTACTAAAAATTGGGAACAGACATTCAGATTAGATGGTTAGCGCAAAACAAATAGTTTAACATAAGGATTCAAATGAACATCTGAACTCAGGTAAACATTTGAGGGGAGAACAGAAATGAAAAGGAAAGGATAGAAGAGAAGAATCTAGATAAGAGACAGAAATGGGCTCAAATGTAAACTAAATTTATCTTGAAATACTTCTATATTGTATTTTAAAATCCACAGTCAGCAACACTAAATGAGAAACAAAAAGCCTTGGTATGGATCTAGTCTCATACACCTCTGGTTAAGTAGAGCATCAAAGAACTTTCAGTCATCATGGACACATGAGAGGTCATTACCACAATTATCTGATTTGTCAGATTATACCTATCATTCCCACAGCAGCTAATGTTTGTTTATTTGTTCGTCTCTGTTTATTACAAGCAGCACTCTCCTGGATGTCACCACAGGTTATTTGCAATTTTGTTCACCTACCTAGTTTGGAAACCTACTTATGCCACTTTCTTTAACTGCATGCTTAGAAAATATGGCATGTTAAAACCTTCAGGTGCAGTGCTTTATGTTTAACTAAAATTGTTTTATGTAAGGGTGAAAAACCTCTTTCTTTGGACAGCTTGCTTTGTGAATTAAGGTTAGAAAAACAAGCATAGAAACTGCCAAAGCTAGATCAGACTAGTCATGTATCCAGTCCAGCATTCTGTCTCCAACTGTGACTCGTACCAGATGCTTCAGAAGGAGGTGCAAGAAACCCAGCAGCTATGGGATAATTGGCCAACAGTGAAAATTTCTTCCTATTCCCACATCTCTGAGGAAGCGCCCTGAAGCATGCAAGTTTACACACTATACTAGGAGAAAGCTACAATGCTTATTACGTAATGGCTAACATGACAGCTATTCACACTATACCTGCTACCAAAAGCATTTAGAACAGATTAGGTCATCTAATAGAGGATTTCCAGATTTGTCAAGAGAGATCAGAGGTTTTCCTTTTCTGAATGGAGGTATAGCAGTTTGCCTTTGGAGAAATGGGATAGATCGGAAAAGGACAAAACTGGCTCAGGAAACATTTGCCCCACCAAGTCTATTGCACTAAGGATCCTTAACATATGCTAATAGATTTCTGCCTGGTAGGACTGATATGGACAGCAAAATGAAAACAGCTGAATCCATCTTCGACCCCACAAGATATTTATATTAATTTTATATTCACAGAAAATGAGTAGTAGTTCTGAAGTATTTCATCAGACAAGCGTGCCAACAGGGCAAACCTCTTGACAAGTTTGGAGGTTCCTATAAAATGTTTATTCTATAAAAACTAAAAAAAGCATTTCCACATTATATTTAGAGCTTTCATCTCTTAAAAAGCACTTAGATATAAAAGGAAGTAGTATTACATTAGATAACAAAATCTCCATCACAACAAGAAAAATGTACCCTGATACTTTGTATCCTATTAAGTCAAATTTATTCTGTACTCCATAAAATGATTTGAATTACAGTGACCTATACTGTAGCTGCTGTTCCAGTGCACAAGCACTATTGAGACAGAGTTACATACCCTATACTGAAAACAAGGGGTCTCTTTTGGAACGCAGGAGAGTGTTACAAAACAACACAGAATAAGCGTAGAAAGCACTTTTAATGATAGTATTTTTTTGCTTCACCATCTTCAGTGACTGGGGAAAGCCTGAGCTCAATAAACCGAGATCACCTACTCGATAACAGGAGTTGTTTTAAACAGCACGTTTATATGTATCACTCAAGTGCAGGCCTCATGTGAAAAAGGTATTTCCTCTTCCTTCATGTGCAAGATAATTTATGGACACTCCTATCACTAAGTGTTTAGATCTAATTTAATAACATTCTATTACAGTAATTGAAAATATTTTTTCAACAGGTAACAACACTTTTACAACATTAACAGTATGAAGAGGTTGAAAACTGTCTTGGACCAAAAAGATGAAAATACATGGATTTGGAAACTGTGGTCAGATTTAGAAATTAATGTAAGGAATTTTTTTCCCTTTCTCCTACCCTTTAAAAAATATAAAATAATAATAATAATTTAGTGCTTGGAAAAAACACCAGACTGCTAGTCCTGGGTAATTAAGTTCTCCCCCCACAGATCATGTATAAAAGCAGTGTAAGTAAGATTTCCCATGTCTCAGTCATGACATGGAGAGACTACATCTAGGGATGAAAGGATAGCTCAGTTTCCATGCTTAGTCTTCGGCCTTTGCTGAGATGGCCAGAGATGCCACATGTCCCAGTGACTCTGATTGGAGTCTGTCCTTAGGGAACAGGGGGACACCACATATTCATGTAACAGACCTCTAAACTATTTTTAAAAGTTTGAACATGCAACATTTCTATTGCTAAAATTCAAAAGTAGGCAAATCCCACCTTTTGAATCCATGATGGCAGAGGGTCCCACATGCTTAAACTGATAGGGGGCAAGTGGGCAGGACTGGGGAACCACAGCTCCATAGGAGTAACATGAGGAGTAGCGGCAGACTATTTGATACATTCACCATTACCCTCTCTTCCTCCCTCCACCCATTCCCATGGAGCAAGGGTTTAAGCAGCACAACCACTATGGCAGCTAGTCCACAGCTGGAAGGAGGGAATACTACCTCAGAGAATTCCAATGCACAAATAGCAGTGCACAGATATCCAGGATTTAAAAGCATGGCAAACAAAAACACTAGACTTGCATATTTTAGAAAGCTGGCACATGTATACATACCACCACCAGAATGCTTAGGAAGTGCTAATTTTGTATACATTTAGAATTCAGTTATTTACCTTCTTTATAATAAGGAGCATATAATTGTGGGGAAATTGCATGCCTCAGCGTATTAATAAAGGGATAAGGAGCCTCTCATCTCCAGGTCACAGGTTGGAACTTGATACTCAAGTGTAGTATCTGAAGTGAAGACTGACCACATTCAGTCTAGTTTCATCAGTAGGGATCATTCCTAAGACAGCCAATGTAACTAGCAAATGCAATGGCAGCCTCAGTAAGCACTAAAGACTAAATGGGTATGGAAACTGAACTACCCTCCCTGAACGGATCCCCTCTAAGCCATGGTTGAAACACATTGGAGATCAGCACGAAGGAGTTTCCACTGACACTGCTTACACTGTACTGTCATGTGAACAGAGTTCAGTTTCCAGGGTTGTCACTCATCCACTTTGCTTTGTCTTGTATTTTAATGGCAGCACCCAAGAGCTCAGCCCTGGTTTGAAGTTTTATAAGTGTTGTATAAAGTGTTTATTGTCAGTCAACTATTCACACAATAGGTTCAGGGAGTGCTTTTAATTTATTATTTTGAAAGAAAGACACTACTATTTCTAACAGAGTTCTCCATCATAAAATTAAGGAATAATGGAATGGTAGAATCTTTCTAACCAGTATATATATATATATATATATATTTTTAAAGGTAGCCACTGTACCCTACCATGCACACAATTAATGACTGTAATGTCAAATAGTTTAGTCCAATTGTTTGAGATGAGAGTTTAGTTTTAATTTTTAAACAATGTGCATGCATGCATGCATGCATCAGGGGCAGAGAGAGTGAGGGAAAAAAAAATCAACAAACACACCACTACTGATGACTTGCCAAGCTATATAGAGATAAATGCCTTATCTAAGACCAGAATCAAATACTGTGCCATATGCTTCTCCTGAAGTGCATGCAAAATTACCATAAACATTGGTGAGAGTTTTGCATGAGAACAGGGTAGTATAAACCTTAAGAGTTTGTTTATGGCTCAAAAGAAACAGTTTTCAAATAATGGAATCAGAATCCAATTTGAGTCCAGTCTAAGCCCAGGAAGAGACTGTGAAAACACCAACCTGATGTGTGAAAAGGAACAAGGGTGCATTAATGCTGTCAGTTCTGGGAATGCAGCAATTATGTTTTGCGCTTTGATGCATTAATTTTTTTGTTGACTCATATTCCAGTACAGGTACATACCGCCTTTTAAATCAGCTGACGCCCCCACGTACTGGAAGTTGTCCATATTAATTACATCAATTATAGGAGACACAACTCTGGTCTTGTCCTAAAATAAATATTAAAAAGTAAATATTGAAATAATGAAATCAATAGAAAAAGATTCAAGCAGGATGAGATGTTGAACCATTTAGTGGGAGACCATTAGCACCCCTTTTCCTGTTTTTGACTCACTTTGAACAGTCAGAAAGAGTTTCTCCTATTGGCTCTCTCAGCAAGAGAGTTCTCTCCATCACCTCCAGAAGCAGCTGCCTCGTCTTATGGTTTTCACCCCCCTCTTCATTCTAGGCTACTTTTATACAAATTTAATCCCCTCCCTTTGACTTTACCCTGAAGCAGACATCACTGCATTGCACATCAAACCTCAGAAGGCAAGTCAGAAGCACTTGCACCATTCTTAGCTTAAAACTACCCCAAAGAACAGGCGTGTCAAAGCTGCTCCAGAATTCAGATCTCAAGTCTCCTGCAATCCAGTATACTGCAGTACTCACCAGGTCTTTGCTAGTCTACCACCGTAACCCAATTTAAAAATAAATAAAAAATGTTTTGACGCTGCTGCATCAGGAGATTCTTTCATTAGCACTGATCATGTTACATGCCAGTGCAGAATGTAAGAAACCTGGGTTCTTAAAGAGGTCAATAGACTCCACATTCAAATACTCAATTAGGTAGGAAAAAGAAGGTCAAAATATTAAATCCATGAAAAGTCACTAATTGCTAGCAACAAAGCCTTTGGACAGATATTGCACCCACCAGTAGTGAAATTGCTTTGAATGCTACTCCAAACAACATGTTCTTCAAATGCAAAGCATTTTATCAAATTCACAAAACTTGCTTTCCCGTTACCCCTGAATGTAACCATTAGGATCTTGGTAAGGTCTCAGTATCTTAAAACTGATTTTGTGATATTCCAAATGTGATAGGTTGGCATGTTCCATTTCTTTCCGTTAAGTGAACAGAAACGCATTCAAACATAACTTGACATCACATGTTCAAACAACTGATGACCTATCCTGAAATATATTTGCTTGCATGCAAAGTAATAGTACAAGAACTCTGCGCTCAGATGTAAGATTCAGATTGCATCACTCTGATGACATGCATGGATAACATTTCTGAACAGAATGCCATCAATTAGGGGCAGGACCAAAACATGTAACTCAAGAAATCCCTATAGATTAAGTAGTATGGAAAATGTAAACAGGTCTCCAATAAAGGAGAGGAGATCTATTTTGATTAATCTATAATAAAGTAAGCACTCATGTTAAATAAGGCACAAAGCTAAATCTTTTAATTATGCTTTTAATTGTATTTATGAGGTTAGTTTTAATGTAAAGTAATAGGGTATATAACTTCTGTAATGGGTTCAACACCCTACACTTTGCACCTCTAATTGGTTATTAATCATTTTGTCCTTTGCACTACTGAACTTTTGCAAGAATATTATAATTGCACATATTGAAAGTGATTGCTGTAAAGTATTCTCTCCTCTGGTTAATCAATTTAAATATGCCAAGTCATGAAAGGTATCACCTTGTTTTATCTTCATTTAATCTTAAATTGCTAACTCCCTAATGATCTCAGTATAGCCACTGCAAGTTATTACAAGTACCTATAATCTTGTGAAATACTGAGTATTTTACAGGAGTCAGGTCATCTTACCTTCAGTGAGTAGGTTGTCTGAAATCTACAGCCTACTAAATTTGTCAAAGGAGGATCTAATTGGGTCTGTAGTTAAAATTCAAGCTAAGGGTCCTAACCAATATCATTTCAGTTGTGGCACATAGGCCAAGTATGACCCTTCATCGAAGACTTTAAACCTTGAACACTGTGTTGCATCCATAGTAGAGAGACAACTAATGAAATAATTAGTTTAGTCTAGGTTAGAAAAACCCAGACACACAAATCAAGCTTGAGACACAGGACAGGCCAGAAAAGGCAAAATATAAGCTTTTTTGCTCCCCTACCTTTTATATATCCACTTTCTCCGAGCTAATCCTAGACATAAACTGCACAGACAAAGACTGGCGCTAAATGATCCCTTTTGTGCTCTCAAAATAAGCAGTCAATTTTCCACCCAGTTCAAGTATGCTAGATCTTAACTATTCCATTAATTTATACGAATGGGTTACACAAAAAAACAAAAAAATGAAACCCCCCAGAAAGTAAGATGTTTGAACAAAAAAAAAAAAAACAAACCAACAAAACACAAAACAAGTTGCTGTTTTACTTTGGTAAAAATATTTCCAAATACTGAGATAGCGGTAGGGGAAACATCCTTGTTTAAAAGTAAGTGCGGGGGGAGCAGCCTCACAATGGGAACGCAGACATATTGCAGCCTATCTGCTTGTTTTTATAGTACAACCAGCACTGGATGTCCATGTATAGCAATCAATTCTACACTAAATACTGCTCAGTATCTAAGCCCATCTCTGAGAGAACCTTTCTGGGTTGCAATTTCTAAAATAATTCTGCTTGGCACAGCTGAGTGGCAGTAAAAGATGCTCAAACCACCTTTGCAGCTCTGCAATATGGGACTGTTACACCAGGAGGGGATTGCCAGAACACAGCAGAGTTCCAGCCATGCCTTCTATGTCAGAGGTGGGTGTAATGGGGTAGGTGGCAGCTTGCTGACTATACATCCATCTGATTCCCACATGCCAGGAATTCTAGTCCGGTCCATTTCACTTTGATACCCATACACTTGTACAGTGGTTCTCAAACTTTTGTACTGGTGACCCCTTTCACACAGCAAGCCTCTGAGTGTGACCCCCCTTATAAATTAAAAACACTTTTTAATATATTTAACACCATTATAAATGCTGGATGAAAAGCATGGTTTGGGGTGGAAGCTGACCGCTCATGACCCCCCACGTAATAACCTTGCGACCCCCTGAGGGGTCCTGACCCCCAGTTTGAGAACCCCTGCATTAGTATCACAATATTTATACAAAAACTTTATAAAGCTTTTATATTTTTTTTTTTTAAATATCCCACAAACTAAATCGTAGGTTCAAACTGCCAGACAGTAGCTCTCTAATACTGCATTACTCTCCAGTTTTTTTAAATGATTATATCATCCCTGGTTTTCCTCATGACGTAAAGCAATAGATGCTTTTTTTTTTTTGAGGGGGGGGCAACAAAATGGACAGAGCATTTATGTATTCTTAATATTAATTCTTGCACCATGCTAATAAAACTGTTAATGCAGATAAAGTGTTAACTGATATTCAGGCTTCAGAATATAGGGGGTACACGACCATCCACTGAAAAGATTAAATTCAGTGGCTCCCCTGAAATGGCCATTAATTAAACTGCATTTGTTATGCGAAAAGATACTTAATTTGCATTGCTGAAATCCTATAGGAAGTCTGATGTGCATTTTGAAAATCAGAACAAAGGCTAAGTGAAAATCTTGTTACATTTTTTAGTCTGCTGCTTCTGTTCTGTAGGTTTTCCACTATACTTTGCAATGGCATATAGAACTGAAAAGGTGTGTGTGTTTTGTGGTGACGTTGAAGGGAAATGAAGTGTGAACACAGTAGGAGTCTCTAGATTCTGGAAATTCAAAGTAATACAGTATTTCATTTTAATATTTGGTAGAGAAGTAATACAGGCTTTACAGATTTGGTGTATCATATACTTTACTGAAACCATCAGGAAGTATTCTCAGAATTCTAAATATTTTGCTTTTTTAAAATTCTAGAGGATTTCAAATGGTTTCACAAAGATTAAGCTTCACAATACTACAAGGATCTACTGATAACCTCATTTTGCTGTTGTGCGAACAAAGTTTAAGAGACTCACTGAAAGTCACGAGAAATTTGAGAGACAGGGAAATAAAACCAGTCTCACTCAGTCACAATGCCATCTTCTCTTCCTCCAAACCTCATTTTAAATAAATAAGATTATCAAGTAAGAGTGATAATCAAAGTTTACATAGTCTACAGTTAGGCTGTGATGGCAGAGATCATGAATTAAACTATCCCCAGATATGCATGCCACCCTTGTTTATAGAACAAATATAGGGAACAGAAAATGCCAAATAGAAAGGACGTAATATCTAGGCTTGTGAAGAACATGGGAGCTATCTGTATTATTTTTATTAATATTGTTTATTAGATTATGATTAAGTTTGTTACCTGGTTTCAAAGGATTAGCTCCTACAGGAGCTCACTTCACAGCAGAGATCAGAGTACGGCTTTACATCAATCAGTCTGCAATTCCTAACAGATAATGCAAACAATCATCTGCATTGAAGCCTATCCTTGACTTCCCCCCCAGAAGGTGCATAAGCCGGTTTGGCCAGTTTCAGGAGTCCCACATCAGACAAAAACTTTGGAGGGGCATAAAAAGGGGACCATAGAACAGGAAGAGAATCTGCAGGGAAGCAGATGGAACCCCTGTCAATAGAAGCAGGAGTACCTGGGATAAGCTGGACTTCGCTAGGCTTTGAGGGAATGCTAAGCTGTAGGTAAGAGAACATGCATGTAGGCCTTTTGTTGCTTTAACCCTTTTCTCTGATTGCTATGTTCCTATGTATAAAACTTTGTTTTGAAAAAGCTGCTTTGAGTCACTGTTTACACCTACTGGCCACTGCTCCTTAAGGGAAGGCTCTTGCAGGTGCCAAACCCAATTGGGCCTGTTCAGGAATCATGCAAGTAAACTGGGATGCTGCAGCTCAGCAACCCAGTCTGAGTGGGAGACTCATGGAATTCCACTCCCAGACAGAAGGCAGGGGCCCAATGTCTGAGGGTCGTACGCTGGAGAGATCTGTGAGGGGAAACTGTGACAATGCTGTTATAGCATGTGAATCATGTAAACTGATTCAATTAAACCCCCACACTAAGATATTTGTACTGTGCTCTGCTAAAACTGCTCTCCTTCCCCCCCCCCACCGCCCCCCAACCATCCCATTAGATGTTTTCATCAACTTTTATAGTGTATTTATCTTTGTAAAAACCAATGACCACTGAGCAGCTCTGGAAATAGAAGACCTCTAGCTACCTACAAAGCTGGTATTGCAAGGGCAGCAGCAGTGCAGGCTTTCCACACTGCCCTATTAAATGTGTCCCAACCATGACCTGAAGAAGTCATCTCTAGGCCTAAAACAGGTGAGTTTTCACATCCATTCCGCTTTTAGGCTCAGACTAAAAAAAGTGCCAATTAATGCCAAACTACATATTGTTTGCACTGTGAGCAAGTCTGAGATCAACACATAAGTTAACCAAGAGCCATCACGTACTGTATATGAATTGTTTCCAGGCCTTACCAACCTGAGCAGGCATAAAACCTGGAAGCGGTGAGCTCCATTATCAAACCTCCAGTCATCTAGTCAGGGAGTCTTGCCTTTCTTTCTGAAAGGGCAGGATATATCATACTCTAACTTCTCCCCAATAGAGAAACCTGAAGTCCATCCCATTCATAAATGGGTTATATGGTGGGTTGCCTATAATAGTAGGGGACCGGATTTAACAATCCAGGAGACCAGTCCTATGTTCATTGAACAATATATGAAACCAACCAGGTTACAATGCAAAAAGTGAAACTAATACATCAAATAGAGAACCATTCAGGATTTCAGATATGATTAGTTCATATATGTTTCTGCTTCTCAGGGAGGTATTTGCTATATGATAATGGTGAGGAAACAAGTTTAAGTGGATTTAATCACGTCTATCCTGCTGGACATAGCTGACACGTGGAGCAAAATGCATCAGATGCTTCTTCCGATGAAATCACTTTATAGTGCTCCATTATCCTGTCAGAACTTCAGAATAAAAGGTACCATATTCTGTTTTAATGAAGGGGTTAAATGAAATTTCCTACCCCCCAATTTAACTTCCTAAAACCAGTCAAGTGTAGCCTGAAGAGTGCATAATGGCACTGTACTAGCACAGAAACCAGAAACAAACAAGAAGCCTGGGGGAAAAAATATTTGCCCTCTATAAAGAGCTGTACTGGCTCAGAACTTCCTGACAGGTTTCAGAGTAGCAGCCATGTTAGTCTGTATTCGCAAAAAGAAAAGGAGGACTTGTGTCATCTTAGAGACTAACAGATTTATTTGAGCATAAGCATCTGATGAAGTGAGCTGTAGCTCACGAAAGCTTATGCTCAAATAAATTGCTTAGTCTCTAAGGTGCCACAAGTACTCTTTTTCTTTTTGAGTTTACTTCCTATATCCCAGTAAGGAGAGGCTTCAGTCCAGCTGGGCTAGTGGGCTTCAAAAGAGTTTACTTCTCCCTAACTTTTTTGTATTGGCATAACAAGATCGTAAGCTGAGGGCTTCCCACAAAACATTTATTATTTTCCTTTCCCTTGCTCCTTCTGAAATTCTCTACAGAACTGCTTGCTAGTTTGGGGGTTTTCTGCTCCCTTTTGACATAGGAGAGACCATTCTAGCACTACAGAACCAGAGGGATAGATGGAACCTCAGCTAAGGGGGCTTTGATATATGGCACTTTAAGCAAGTGCAAAGAAATATCAGCACTGACGTGATGTATTTAGCTGCAGGCACTCTAGGCGCTAATTAGTTACTCTCGTACTGTCAAAGTTTGACTTGGTTGAAGTTAACAATTGGAAATAGAACACTGATCACACGGTGAATGAGCATGTGCTATATGAGGTACAGCATCTCTGAAAACATCAACTAGCTACAAGGTACCACAGAATTAAACAGCAGAAAGTACCAAAAATAGAAACTGGTAGCTCCCACTGCCTGTTGGTAATAAGAAGAACTATAATCCATCTGTTCTGAATTGGAGCACTGATGGCATAGACTAATTCTTTTGTGAGACTGGGGTAGAGGAATATGGCATTAATAAGACAAAGTATCTAATGGAAACTGTTTTAAAGACGAAGGCTGCATTATTTATTATTGTATTCACAGTTTGGTACATTATAAACTGATTTTTGGATGTGATTTCGTCTGAAGCTCCAGACAGTAGTGTGCTTCAGCCACCCTGGGCTCAGGTTTGATCAATTCAGCTACTGACGCAGGCCTATGTAATTTTAAAACAAGAGTTTCGCCTTTTTCATCCCCTCCACTCCCCACTCCACTATGTAGAAAGAGGGAATTAGAGTAGGGTCATTGTGAGAGGAAACATTTGTGGAATAGGTAAATTAAAAGGGCATTTTAATGAGAAGTGGGGGGAAAAAGATGAAAGGTAGGCAATTTGCTTTTTGCAGTTTTCTTCAATGCTTCCTGGGGCAATGCTTGGACCAGCTGCTACTTATATAGAATTTTGAGAAATTAAAGATGTTGCTTGCTTACCAAGCAACAAGTAAAAAAAATACAGTTAACACATGGAGTACGTGTGTACTCTTAACCAATCTTACCAACAGCTTTCCACAGACATAAATTAGTTTTGAGTACATAGCCCAACTTTTCCCATTACCAATCTGAATATCCTCAACACCACACAGGAATAAACAGTCACATAAATGGAGTTGCACTGGGGTGATGAGAATTATATCTAGCTTTACAGTTTCTTAAAAAAAGTTACAAAGAAAAGTCATTGAGGAACCAAGAAGCATGTTTCAATTGCTTAGAAAAATTAGAAAGAGTATTTACAGATTAAGCTCTACTGTTTAGATTAAATGACCAAGAAGTGGGCTTTCATCAGCGAACACTCATGTCATCTCTTTCCTCTCACTTCAAAGAGAAAACAATCTTTTTATATATGCATAAAATTAAGGCAGTATAAATCATTTTATAACCAGGTAAGCATACACCTTAAACTAACCTCAGCTACTCTCTCCAGAAGAGGTTCCAGCCAGTGCTCATTGCATTCACAGTGACTGTCCAGGAATGTCAGTACTTTAGCCTGTGCTGCATCTGCCCCTCTGACACGGGAGCGCATCAAGCCTGTGGGGGAAAAATTTAAATAAGTCATCACAGGAGGAAGAATTTCAACAGTAAACAGACAATAACTCAGTGCTCTAAAATGTAATTCCAGTCAGCCTGTTAACAAGCCTAGCTATAAAACCAGCTGTTAGTGTAGATTTAGTGAAACGATGAGAGGATAAAATGACCAAAAGTGACGAATTTCCAATCTGTTAAGGGCTGGTCTACAGTTTTTGTATTTAATTATTTTGATTAGGTGTGATTTTCTACCAAAATAGCTATACCAGTGCAACCCCTAGTGCAGAGGTAGTAATACTAGTATAAACAGTGCTTTGACAGTATCTTATTCCTCTTTCCTTACAGCAATAACTATACTGGTATAAGTATCTTTACACCTGCATAACTCCATCCACACTAGAAGCTTGTACTGCTTTAATCTATACTGGTATAGTTAAGTGGTATAACTTGCATACTTAGACAAGCCCTAACTTTCCCATGAACTTGCTGTAGTGGCCCCTGTCCCAGGCAGTTGCAGATTTGCAAAAAGCGACACCATTGCCAAAACTCTCCCCTTCCCTTTTATCTCAAGACTCCTTGAGCACACTTTCTGCTCCTCCCTCTTGGATTGCTTCTAGTCTGGCATCTCGCCCTCTCAACTCCATCAAAACTGTTCACAAAACTAGGACTTTTTATTCCATGTTTACGTGTCTTCTCCATTTCCAATCCTCTATTTCTTGGGCTTCTGTGAGACTGTCTTCTCTGGTGGTTCTCCTAATTGGCTGACCACTCCAAAGTAACTTTTGGCAAACACACTTCTCCCTTTCCCCCAGTGTATGTCCCTGGGAGATTTACCCTGGGTTCCCTCCTTTTTATCCTCTCCTCTACCATTGCTAACTGAGTGATCATCTCTGTTCCTATGGTCTCTTACCACATCTATGCAGACAATTCAGATCTACCTCTCCGCCCTCAACTTCTCTTCATCTGTCTCATCTCTCAATCAATGTCTCACCTCTTACTTAAATTAAAACAAAGTAAATACTGAACTCCCTAATTTACCACAATCCATTGTTTTCACTGTTGTTCAAGATTACAACCCTGGGATTATATCTTTAACTCCCTACTTTCCTTCTCTATTTATACTCCAGTTCCCATCAAATCTTGTTGCTTCTCCATCTATAAAATGTTCTAAAATGCACTCTTCCTCTCCATCCTCACTGCCAAAAGCCTCATTCAAAAGCATAACTGTCATATGGAATACTGCATTCCCAACTTATCTTTCCCTTCCTTCAGTCTGACATTCAGCAGCTAATGAAGTCCCTTTCATGGTGTCTTTCTACATGAAGTTTAAACACCTCATCCTCACTTAAGGCTCTACCCTCCTTACATTTCATCTAATTTTTCCCCCTACCTCGCCCTCTGTGCTCTGACCACCATCACACCTTGTTCCTTCCTTTGTCTCCTTCCCACTCTACCTACATACCTTACTTTTTGTTTTTAATTAATTGCGCCCTCCATGTAGAACATCCCACTGGGGCACCAACTATCTTCTTTCTTCTCTTTCAAGTCCCTTTTCCCAAAATACAACCTTTGGATTTTGCTTGCATTAACTTCCACTCCCAAGATGCCTTCTCTACTCTCTTGCACTATGCCTGAAAAATATCAGGCTTTCCAATTTGCTTACTATGACTCCTTTTTAACTCATACTCTCATTTTCCTACCTTTTGCCTTTGTCCATCTTCATGTTCTGCTTTTCTAATTTCTTATGTGACACTTCATTTCTCTTATTTTTGCTCCTCTTAAGTTTTAATGTTCAGATCAATAAGGTATCAATTTAGTACAATACTTATTTGTACTTACTTTCTATATTTGTTTTCTACATAATAACAACACATGCTTTTGATGACAACAAAATGTTAAAATGTTTTCAATGCATTGTTTTTTGTTCATATTGTTCTTTGTAAATTTGTATATGGCTGTACGTTTAGGGAAAAAAATCTTAATAAAAACAGACTGCTTGTTCTTCAGGGCAGGAATCATACCTAATCTCTCTAAAACACCATGCAAAATGAATCCACTCTCATAATTGTTCATAAATAGTTTTTTCTGGGACATGCATTATTAGTAAAAGATTAGTAAAAGCCAAATTATGCCCTCAGTTACACTTGTGCAATCCTGCTCTCTAGATGTATGAGCCAGAAAGAATTTAGCTCTCCCCCTCTACAGTACTGTGAAGAGTTAAAAACACTTGAAAATGTTTGTTATCACACTAAGATCTCAACTTTAAATCAGTATTCCAGTGACAATTATCTTGTTCTTTTTTACTTTAAATGCAGTTACGATCTGAAAAATGACACCCCCTTACTCAATAGAGTCCAGTGAGTGTTCTAAGTCATCAATGCTTTTTTCCCCTCCCAAAGTATTGCTTACAAGCAAAGTCCAAACAATATATTGAAGCAGTGAACACTCAGCATAATGGAAATTCTTGTGCAAAGTATACCTTTCATTATACAGTGCCAAGAGGTTTCACGTGTGTCAATTCCTGGTTTTGGACAATCTCTTATAATTAGTTAAACATCCAATAATTCTGGCTGCCCCAGAGGCAAGACTGGCAGCCTAGTAGGCAAATATTTATAAACATGAATAAGGACATATCTGATAGTTCATTCTCAGCTATAGTAGCTGTCAACCTCACAAAACTTACATCAACAAACAGCTGTAGGACAGTCTCCCATGTCTAAGGTTTTAAACCCCATATTCAAAAAACTGCTGTCTGAAGGGCTCCTATGCTGTGAAGCGAGAGACTAGTGTGCAATGTCAATGGGAAGGATAGCAAGACAGAGGAAAGAAGTGCCTGAATCAGACTGGAAAGTTACCTTACTGACACACCTAAACATTACTTTTTTTTGTTGCACTACTAATCCACGTATACTTTTTTGCACAAAGAGATACAGAATACACAGCACATATTTTAAAAAAAATATTTCAAGTTCACTGTTCTCCAAGGTAGTTACTTTTTGTTTTTAGGCCTGCGTTTTCCCCTCCCCAAAGTAATTTCACAAAACGCACCTTCTCGACGATCATTTCGAAGGACCCGCACTTTCTCAATTTTCCCCAACAGAGCACCATCCTCAGCTAGGTGAGACATGAATTAAATAAATGACATGCAACTTGACATAATCATTAAAATAAATCAGAAAATTAGCTGTTTCACAAATGAAAAGCAAAAAATTAAAGTTTCAAAGTATTTACATTTTAACATACTTATAAATCAATAAAAAGGCAAAATGAATCTCTCGTCTCGTCACAAATAGGTGAAAAATTATTCAACTGAAAAACTGAGCTTGTCTTAAGTTTTCCCAATATTTCTGATGTGATGAACTTCTAATGTGCTACAAAATGTATGTTCCTGTAAATTAAAGGTATCCTGCCACCTTTATTTTAGGCGCAACTTTTACGTTTTGTAGAAATAGGCTTTTACAAGATATATTAATAAAAATTAACTTATTTTTCTTTAAACATTTTTTAAAAAGGTATTACGTCTCTGTGGTGTTTACAACCCAAACTTTGCAGCATCCGGCTAATATATCTGAACTCGCCAGTGAAATGAAGTAGACGCTGACTTGTAAACAGAATTTATACTGATTGGCCTAATTTCATTGTCCAAGCTTAGTGAAAAGTGAGTTATATTTCTATTTCTTAGTAGCAGTATGAATTGTTGAAGTGTCAGCCCCCTTTTAAAGCAGTGATATCAAATGGCTGGTGCAAATACCAGAAGTTTATAATAAAAACATTTATACTATGGCAAGCTTTTTCTCCTGTTTGATCTGCACCCAGCAAGAACTACATACTGCATGTTTCTTCATAGTTAAATGGCAATGACAATGAATCTGACAAAACTAAGATCAAATACTGAACCTGAAACTCCGAACTCCAAGTCACATGAATAAGGATATTGAAGGCTCAGGCCCCACGATAGTACTTACGATCATTGCTGTAGTCATCCACCAGTATGATTTCTTTGATAAGATGTGATGGGCTCTTTTTAAGCACACTGAAAAAAGAGAAGTCAGATAACTAATTAGGGTTCACCTTCCATATTATAGTTATGGGAGTGGCTTGCAGGGCAACAGGATCTCTCTCTGTATACCTGACAACAGTTCGAAGTAAAGCAGATCTGGCCTCGTTGTGGAAGGTGATCACTACACTAGTGGATGGCAGGTCTATCCGCCATTGTTTCCGTTGACACCTAAAGACAAAAAACCCTGTAATTTAAACTCATAGTACTCACATTGCAAAGAGCTCCATTATGAAGCTGTTACCAATACAGTTAATGGATGTCCTACAAGACATCTACCTTAAATATCCTTCAGAAGATTAAAAGACTTGGCTCTAGTGAGTAACATTAGAATAAAGTAATTTCCTCTTTCTGACAATTCTGGTAACTGCTCTAAGCAGAGTACTTTGTTTATAGTTCACAAAGTTATAACAGCTATGTGCTGGCCATTTTCAAGGACAAGGTAAGTCTCTCCAACCAGTGACAAAAGGGCTCAAATTTGATTTGCTATGAACCCACAGATAACCCTTTATTAAAAGTATTTACACAGTACTTTGTATTTCAGACTAATTTATTGAGGGACCATTTGAAAGCACGTGATTTTTACAGTTAATTAAATAACAGGGTTCAAGTGTTCACCTTTCTCTATCAAAATGCACACATCAATATATCTAGAGTTTTCAGGGATGCATAACATGTGTCTGACTCAAGTCTAGATGTATGTATATGCTATTACTATCAATGTTTGGTAAAAACTATGAATTGACATGCAAGAGCTGCTATGTACACTGTGCAACAGTAACAAGCAAGGCAGAGCAAGCAGATGGCAGAACAAGTTGGAGCTCTTTTGTCACTGGAGATGTTTCAGCTGTTGCCTGAATTTGGCCAGCAAGCAAACATTCTGACATTTAACTGTTTTGTTGCCTCATCACTTTAGCAGATGATATGGGAAAAGTGCTAAAAGTGAAATCCACTGGGAAGAGGGAAAACAGAAGATAGAGAAAGAAGAGAAAGAAAATGCAGAAATAATGATGGTCCTGAAGGTGAGCCTACTTTCCCAGTGAGTGACTGAATGCAACAATAAAGTACTGAATAAATAAATAATTAAAAGATGGGGCAAACTGATGTAGTACTCAATTTTCAAATGGGAATATTGCTTAAGCACAGAAGGAAACTGCTTTGAAATCTTCTTGTGAAGCTGCTGTATGCATACAAAATTTTACTCAAGTTGTGAGTTCTATTTTTTAAAAAAGCTGGTAATTAAAACTGGCATTTCAGACTACTGCTTGTGGAAACAACTTGACTGAAGAGCAGCATTAAGTAGGAATGTTTTATTGAGAAGTGACATTTTAACCCCTTAACCATATTTTTTAAACCCACAACCATACACACACACACGCACATACTCACTCACTCTAGTTAGGCTAGATAAAAATTCAATACTATTTCCAAGAAATAAAAGAGGAAGCACTTTCCCATAAAATATTTTTACCCAATAAGTAACTGAAAAACAAATTGAAGTTTTATCTGACCAAGTCTTCAATTTTCTTTTAAAGTGTTTGTTCCCTTGCAAAGGTGATGAGGCACTTTTCAGTTGAGCAGTTCATTTTGTACTACTAGCATTGCAATCCCTGCTAAATATAAGATTAAGTGGCAATTACATTTAAAAAGGGATAGACCAACATCTTTAAAACATAATTAGAAAATACCACTGATGATCTGGGTAGAACTTAGTCTGAGCCTAAACTGAGCCTAATCTGAGCCTGAATTATAATATATTACAAATCTTTAAGTTCCTTGGTTCTGGGAAATCTGATTTTCTCTAATGCCGAATTCCAATATCAGAATTTAAGGGTGAACATATTCATTCCTCAAAGGTCCTTTTTTGCTGTATTTTACTTCAGTGCAATGGTGCTTTAAAAAGCTCTTTATAATACTTAGAACTTGGATAAATACATGTTATATAAATCCAAATATAAATAGCTAAGTGAACCTCTTAAACATGAGTGTTTAAAGGGCTGCACTCTGATTGTTTGGGACTGGTGCTCAATTTCATGCTCAATCCCCAACTTTCAACATCCAATTCCATGTACAGGTCTCCTAGGTGGCTGGCACTGTACTGACCTTGCTCACAAATACAATCTTCTATGTAATTCTAAAAATCTATATTTTAGGATTCTAAAATTCAGAATTTGAAAAACAAGAGTAGCTGTGAAATGATATTTGTGCAAACACACACATAACATAATCCTTCTAAACAGTAATAATGGTAGGGTAGTCCATCTAACAACTAACTTTTCATCATCTCTAATAGGTGCAGAGTTTAATCTAGAAAAGACAAAATCCCAAAATGCTTAATCCCCCACAGGACCTATGAGAAATTAAGCTGCTTAAAAATCTCATTGGCAATACCTTTCAAAAATACTATCAATTATTGCATGTGTTCCCTTCCAAAGTTAACAGAGCAGGAGAAAGCTGCACTTTAGAAGAGATCCTATGGTATGCATCTCAAAAAGTCTGGGGAATTAAAAAAATGATCCTTGTCCACATATAATGATGTACACTAGTCTATCTTAGTGACTTCATTTCCTTTGATGTCCTTTTAATTACTATTAGAAGCTGAGTGTTTTAAAGTAGTGGTTCTCAACCTTTCCAGACTACTGTACCCCTTTCAGGAGTCTGATTTATCTTGCATATCCCAAGTTTCGCCTCACTTAAACTACTTGTTTACAAAACCAGACATACAAATACAAAAGGGTCACAAGCAAACTATTACTGAAAAATTGCTGACTCATTTTTACCATATAATTATGAAATAAATCAATTGGAATATAAATATTGTACTTGCATTTCAGTGTATAGTATATATGGCAGTCTAAACAAGTCATGATCTGTATATTTTCGTTTTTACTGACTTGGCTAGAGCTTTTTATGTAGCCTCTCGTAAAACTAGGCAAATATCTAGATGAGTTGATGTACCTCCTGGAAGACCTCCGCTTACCCCTGGTTGAGAACCACTGTTCTAAAGCACACAAATATGCAGGTTCGGGCAGCCATGACTAGCTACACCATCAGCTAATAGCAAGCTCAACACATCAGACAAAACATTGCTTAGAATATACAATCAAATCCACTTTTAGGTAAGAATCTCATTTTTTTTCTTAAAATGTTAAAAAAAGAATCTGCCTGCATAAAAACATTCTCCACATCTGAGGACATGAGTCAATGATCTATACATAAAACTCGACAAGTTATAAATATTTATGGAATAGAGAAGCAAGTGGCAGTGGCTAGAGCTGTGAAAGCTTCTGCCTTTCCTGCTTATAAAAGGCCCCATCTACACTACATAATTTTAGTGTTAACAACTCCAAATCCCTAGCACACCGATAGCATGACACATACATACACACACTAGTGCTTGCAATGGTACACAAATATTCACAGAACAGTTGTGATTACACGTCAAGGCTATGCCCATCAAGGCTTGAAGGTCTACGCTGCCGCTGGGAACAAGCCATCCAGCCAGGCAGACAGATTTGCATTAGAGGGGCTTCAGGTAGCACAATTAAAATAGCAGCATGGATGCTGCTGCATCCTCAATGGCTCAGGCTGGTCACCTGAGCTCAAATCCAGGAGGTTGGGCGGGTCCAACTCAGGTATTTACCCCAAGCCTTCACTGGTGCAGCAATGTCCATTGCTATTTTTAGTGTGCACTAGCACAAGTCTGTCTGCCCAGGCTGGGAGGCTTGCTCCCAGCTGTAGACATGCTCCAACTGAACTGTTATCCATCAAGATTTGCAGAGCCAGGTTTGGCTTCGGGACTCAATCTATTGGTGTTCATGGTCTGTAGAGTGACAGTGAAGTTGGATACCACATTAATGTCCATTGTGAGGTGAGAATACCATGCCCCTTTGTCCACTGCAGAAAAGTGGAGCATTACTAAAAAGGTATAACACATGTTTTCACCCCCATCTAAACATCCACGCAGGATCCAGCCACAGCGATACACCAATGCTTGGATCACCAGGAAGTTGCAGCCTTCTCTGTTAAGGTATTGACTTAATGGAGTAAGCCCAGAATGGGCACCTGGATATTGTCTATAGCACCAGCACAGTTCAAGAAGTCCAACACTTCTTTGTCTATAGCACAGCACTTCTGAAAGCCAGGCTACCAATTTAAGTGCCCAATTTTTACACATGTGTTTGACCATGTGGGGGCGGGGGGCAGTTCTCTTATTAAAATCCTATGTACATTTATATGCAAATTACACACAACTCTGGCTCTCAGCAGGTTGCCAGTGGGATTCGAGCATTACAAAAATTGTGTACCACTGCCCTAAACACTGTGAATGGTTGTACCAGTAGAGGCTCACAACACAGTCCCTTAAAGGTTCTGTATGCTGAAAATTTAATCTGCTGTCATGCATTTTATTTTTTGGCCCAAAGCAACTCAAATGGATTAGATATCCTAACATTACAACTAGTATTCCCAAAAAACAGCATTAACCTGCTCTTCTTTAGGATAAACTTATCTCACTTTAATGACCTTGAGTCTGTTCTATTTGCCAGTGAATCATGAAGTTAACATTCATAAAATGTAGTAGGATTTGAAAATGTGACATTTAACTTCATTTAGTTGTTGCACTTTTGCAAATGAGGAAATTTGAACTAGAATGCATCTTATGAAATGTCAAGTTATTTGATGCAGGGAAGCTTCTCGCCTTGAAAAGGGTAAGCTTGGGAATAAATTCACTCCTATTTTGAGGGAGAATCCAAGGCTCCAAATTTGATCTGAAAGAATTTGCCTCTTGTATATTTTAAATGTGACCTATTTATATTTCTCATTCTATATTCAAAAAGTACTGCAATTTTTGGAAGGATATTCTTTTCTTCATGCATAAAGTATTTGAATTCCTGCTTTAAGTGCAAAACTCAACTCAGCCTTAGCATGGAACCACAAACTGTTTGCAAAATAGGATGATACTGCAGTTGTGTTCAAGATGCACATCCTGCCACTCCACTGTCAAGAATTTTGTAAAAAGCTTTTTTTTTGTTGGACTTCCCTTAAAAATAAATAAATAAATAATAAATCTGATCAACAGCCAATTTTCCAACCATCTTTAACTAATACTAGAGCTGTGCTGGATAATCAATTCTTTATAAACCTATTTGGGCACAGTAAAGTGCTATAAA